ATATGTAATCCCTCCAGGGTGTCTTGGGTCTACCCTGGGGCCTCCTACCAGTGGGACATGCCCAGAACACCTCTAACAGGAGGCACCCAGGAGGCATCCTAATAAATAATAAAGTATAGAGTATGGGGATCAAACTAATCAAACTGATTAAAATCAAAAGCAGCAAGTCTTCATGCTTGAGAAGCTGGAAACATGAGATGTTTTTGCACAAATAATGACTCTAATGAATATCTTAATAGTTGCCCATTCATTTTCTAATCAATCAGCTAATCGTTGCAGCTGTACTTGTATATTTATATGTTTGTGTGCAGAAATCTCAATTTGTAAAGTAACTAAAGTTATCAAATTATTGTAGTAGAGTTAACAGTCAAATATTTCCCTCTGAAATGTAGTGAGGTAGACATAGATGATGGAAATGAGGCCAGACGATGGTTATCCTGCATCCCTCTGAAGTGTGGTAAAGTAGGAAGAAGGTGGCATGAGATTAAAATACTCAAGTAAAGTAAAAGTATCTCAAATTTGTGCTTAAGTACAGTATCTGAATAAATGGACTTAGTTACATTCCACCACTGTAAAGACGCATATGCTGTGTGTTTGAATAAACTCTACTGTATACATACTGTGTAGGGTATGTACATATATAGCTGGATTAACCTGTCTGGGGCCCCTGGGAAAAATTTTGATGATGAGACCCTGCTGCACTCAAGTTCTCATCTAGTTCACAATATAGACGAAGACGACAGCTTCAGGTTTTGTTTTTGCTTAGAGATGCAAAAACAGACACCTCACTTTCTGGCCTTAGGTTTTCTTTATGTCAATTAGTTTGTGTTAATTTTATTAAACACAACTTTACTTAGATGACCACACGGTTCCCGAGCGCAGAACCGCTGCTGCTCACCGCTCCCTCAGGGGATGGGTCAAATGCGGAGAACAAATTTCACACACTCAGGTGTGTGACAATCAGTGGGACTTTAACTTTAACTTTACTTAGGAATATGCAAAAAGAATAAAATGAAGTAAAATAAAATAAAATAAAATAATTCCAAATAAAATCAATTAAGTTAAATTAAATTAAATTAAATTAAACAAAATAATAATGCCAAATAAGGCAATACAGTTATGTTATAATGCAAGACGTCTGGGGCAGCTCATCATGCTGCCCTATAGGTAATCCAGTCTTGCTACACACACCTTTATATTCTTGATGTGATTCTGGATAGAAACTGTTTATACATGACCTCAACACCCCAACAAATACACCCCTCCGACACTCCTCCTTCAAAAGCTTCATTTTACCGTCCCTCTCACTCCCACTGCCTCTCTCTTTATACATCCATGACCTTTCCCCTGTCCGCTGCATGAGCACAGCATGATGGTGTTTGTTTGTTTCCCATGTGCAGAGCCAGGGCTGTGTACGAACACCAGCAAACACACAGCTTGTGGAGATATTCGTTGAATTTTACAAAATGTGTACTTAATTTGAATTTATGAACTACATGCAGCACTTTCTATCTTTTGACCCTCAGTTTGAATTAAGAAAAGGCTCTCCGCACAAACCATTAGATCAATTCAACATCAAAAAGTGGCACATTTCTGTGTTTTCAGTCTTATGCTGGTTGTAACCATGGGAACAGTGAAAACACGACCAGCTCAGTCACAGCTGACTCTGATAAACCTAATAGATACTTTACTGTCGGGTGGAAAGGAAGCTAAGCGCTCTGTTAGTTGTACAAATGGAGCTTGCCTGTGCAGATTTGCCAAAACCAATATAAGTAGTAATAAAAAATGCCCACCTGAAAAACACAATGCTTTATTAGAAACAATTTAATGTGGCAAAAGAGGTCAGCTTGGTGTTAAGGCCGTATGTGCCATAGGGTTAACAGTACAGTTGTACATCACTGCAGAGGAACGAAATATCTTTGACTTACTCTTCATTTTATGGCAGAGAAATCATCAGCTGGCGTAAATATATAAATGTTTTTACATCACACAACCCACATCACTCTCACTACATGTTGCAGCACAGGCGTGCGGCTCATAGTGGCCATAGGGGCTCGAGCTCTCCTGAAATGCCCCCTTCACCAAATAAACATCATCATAATTCACATCTTTGTTACTGTTATTGCAAGAAAGCCTGCCAAAGCTCTGATCCAATGAGCGATAACATCATCACCTTCAGCCTTCATTTCTTTTGGTGAGAGATGCAGGGAGGACCTCTGCACTTTAATGCTCTTCATCTTTCTTTTTTTATGGATGAACAGGATGAAAGTTATTTCTTATTATTGTGTGGTTGATTTATGGTTTTCGGGTTTGCCAAAGACTAAGGTGCTCATTAATCAAGCGATGACATAGGGTGCCACGGAGAGGTTGTCTGAGGTGTTAGCTTTGAACTTGAGAGGTGTAAAGATGGTATTTTTTAAAATCCATGGCCCCACAAAATGTCTCTTTACATCCCTGTGTGGTCTGTGTCAGGGATTTCTGAGGTGTGTACTGAAGATATACAGTATATACAGTACAGTGATCTCACAGGGTATTCATCAGGGGAATAAATCTGTCTTTCATGTGATGTGTATGAAGAGGAGTGGACTGCATGACGCTAATTTCACTGACAGGGCAGAACTTACATTTGGCTAACTGCCTTGACACCGCATTAACAACAATTTCCTTAAACTGCTGCTGCAAAACATGGGCTTTTAAACCACTCCAAAGGAGTTGCATTTTCTTCTGTTTTTTTCTACCGTGACTTGTGCAAGTTTGTCTAAAAGAATACACCTCGATTCAATCATGGGAAATGAAGAGGAGTTATATACTGGCAGTGAAATGAAGAGGAGTGAGAACAGGACAATGTAAGTGTGAAGCAGAGACTGACAATAAACATGGTATAAGAGCCACGAAAAAAGAAGAGCATATATTTTTGAAATTCATATGACAAGTGCTACATTTGCTGCAGCATTTTACATTTTACTTTGAGGAATGAATTCATCTATAATAATCAAACTCTTTTTTTAACCTAAACGAAACATGAAGTGTCAGCTACTTAAGAAAACAAATTAGTGTTTGGTCACGAATGTGGTGTAGTTGATCCATGAGTGCAACTTAAATCCAGTCCAGCATTTTAAAAGGTGCATGTTAAAAGCAACACAAGCTGGTTTGACCTCCAGTTCACAGTGTACGCCTACATGAAGCTCACTGTTGGATTTGTTGCTTTGTTTCACTCAACCAGTTAATATGGCTGACAGAATGTCACTGAACTTTAAATGACCCAGCTGTGATTATGTGCAATAAACTGTTCACTGGCAAACTGAGTGGTAAATCAAATTCTAAGGACTTTAATCTGTCATTCCAAAGCAATAGTCCATAATGCCACCTGTTACTCTAAAGTAGCCTGACACTGTGTGATGTTGGAGTGTGTATGCCTAGGAGACTAGCTGAAAACAAGAGCCAAATCTTCCTGTCCTAGTAATAATAGTGGTTACATTTGGATGAATTCCCATCCTGAGACATAAAAAGCTGCTTAAAAAAATGTTTGGGGTTTTCCATCAACACATCAATCCACTATTTTTAGACTCAGTATTTCCATACTATATTTGTATCTGAGCACTCCAAGACTAACAAAATAAAAAATAAACAAGGATTTTGATTTACCCATTCAAATTTTCTTTGTGTGGAGAGGGCATCGACAGAAAATATAAGAGAACAGCTATATCCCAAAATAATAATAAAAAAGATTTGAAATGTTAGCAATTTCATGACCTCTGTACTTCTAAAATCATTGCTTCAGTCTGGTCCTTGGTCTCTTGGAATTTATGTTCATGCACTTAATCCTTACTTTCATTCATTAATTTCCATAATCACTTATCCTCTTGAGGGCTGGAGCCTATCCCAGCTGACATTGGGCTAGGGCGGGGTATATCCTGGACAGGTCGCCAGACTATCACAGGGCTGACACATAGAGACAGACAACCATTCACGCTCACATTCACCAATTAACCTGCATGTCTTCGGACTGTGGGAGGAAGCTGGAGTACCCAGTGAAAACCCAGGGTTACATGGTGAGAACATGCGAACTCCGCGTAAAAGGGTTCCCTCCTAGGATTAAACCAGGGACCCTCTTGCTGTTAGGTGACACCCAAAATATATATTAATAAATTAATAAATAAAAACCTTTTATATATATAAAATATATATACTTTATTAATCCCCCTGAGGAGAAATTCAATTTTTTTCACTCAGTTGTCATTTACACACAGGTCCGAAATACACACATGCACAAACAGGACCTATACACGCACTAAGTGGAGAGATGTCAAAGTGAGGGGACTGCCCATGGACAGGCGCCCCAAGCGGTTGGGGGTGTTTGTTGCCTTGCTCAAGGGCACCTCGGCAGTGCCCAGGAGGTGAATTGGCACCTCTCCAGCTACCATACCACGTTCCATATTTGGTCCGGACGGGGACTTGAACAGGTGACCCTCCGGTTTCCCAACCCAAGTCCCTGTGGGCTGAGCTACTGCCGCCATTTATGCACAATTCATGCGTAAAATGCAACACAGAGTGCTGAATAAAAAAAAACAATCAAATAATTTGTGACAGAGAAAAAGCAGATGATAAAAACATATGATGAAATAATATGAATATTAATAAATGAAAAATAATAATAAAAGATAAAAATAAAATTCAGTTAAAACTACAGGCTAAGATAAGATAAAACAACCATCAGTAAAAATACATTTCAGGAGAAATCAATGCTAAAAAGATGTGTCTTCAGGTTAGATTGACAAGTAGCCTTTTAACAGATGTAGAGCTCCAAAGACCCTCAGGCAGACTGTTCCAGAGTTTAGGGGCGTACTTAGATTCATTTTTTTTTAAAATATGTCAAATTAAAAACGAATAAATTGCTTGGAAGAGCCAAAATAAAAGTTAGGGCTCATAATTTGCATTTCGGAAATCATAACTGTCCGTTTTTTTCCCAGCAGTGTAGTTTTGCCACGATCCCTAACTCATTGTTTGGCAGTCCGGTGTCCAGGTGAAGCCAATTTCTGATTTTCCGGTATTCATCCGGACTAAAATGAACTCATAAATCTTTTACTACATTTTCGGGAATGCGGCCTTCTTCCCGTTTAACCACAAGTATGTTGTGAATTAACCTCGTTAAACCGGTTGTGCAGATAGTGAACTGACATTGGTGAAGTTACATCTCGGAGGCTTGGTCCCTAAACATCCGAACATATCTGTTCACTCCGACATGAAAAGAAACGGCGCCTACAAGTTTTTGTCAGTGTTCTCGTGCTTCATCGTTTGTGCGTTCATGTTTTTATTCTGGTACTTTCTCATTTACTCCATGATACGTGTCCCGTAAGACACAGAGAGGGATACACTTCTTCGTTAGCCGCTAAGCTAACTGACAGCTATTTACCCACACTGCATTGCTGTATTGACAAGTCCCGTGATCACATGATCATCCGGACCCGGAAGTAAGGATCTCTGGTAAGTGCACAAACCTCAGCTTGTACAGTTTGACAGATGAACGTGTGCTCAATGTTAGCGCAGTTTATCTGCTTTAAAATATAGGTATATTGTAATGAAGGGATTTTGTTTCCATGGAGATGCTCGTTGCGTGTAAAAAACACGTCAAAGCAGTTGATGCTGTCAAAGCTTCTGGTTTCACTGTGTGGACTGTGTCACAAGACTTTAAGTCCAGATGAAATATATGAGGAATTTAAACATTCATTAATTCACCTGTGAGCATTTAAAGTCCCGAAGAAGATATTTAAAGTGTTTAAATGTTAGATGTCCTGGTGCAACACATTTGCCAATAAGAAATAATCCATATAACACAAGAGTGGCAGGGCTTTAGTTTGCATTTTGTGTTCATATAAACAGCCGAATTTGCAAAAAAAATGTTTTGAAAGTGTTGAAATAAGTAGTGTTAGATGTTACCATGTAGCAGAACAATTGGATGTGCAGATAGCATCCATTGTGGATTAATCTATGTATCACTTCTGACATAAGATAAGATAGGATAAAATAAGATAAACCTTCACTGATACCAGAGGGGACATTTGGTGGTTGTTCAGTTGCAGAGCCCAAAGAAACATGTCTGAATTGTCCATTTAGTCTGGCCAGTAGTCTCAAAACCTTAACTATGCATTGCCGTTATGTCCTATCTTAACATATTTTATCTTATTGATGATACAAAAAAGCAAAAGAACAAGGGGCAACTCACATTTTTGTATGTAACAAACATTTGACTCTAAAGATTAGGATATTTATATTTGTTAGTCAGATGATTTCAAGTGATTATTACCAGCATAACTTGCTCCAAATCATTCAAAATTCAGCAGCTAGACTCAGAGCTGCCCCTGACCAAATTGGGGCCCTAAGCGAAATTTTATTTGGAGGCCCCCATCCCAAATGTATCATAGGTACAAAATGACCGTACAACAACTTGCCATTTAACTTGACAACCTTTATTGGCAATAACAAATGTACTGTAGATACAGTTGTTTGGCTGTATGAGTCAAATAAAATAAAAAATTCAATCTGAAATAAATAAATAATTAAATATTAAATAAAAATAACTTCAAACTGAAGTTGAGTCACAAATAGCCATCAGTTACTCATCAAAAGAAAGTAACTTCCACCACCTCAATCCCCCACCCTTGATTAAACACTGAAAATAAAATAAAAGAGGGAGACAGGTTTTTCCTATTTAATCTTATTTTGTTATATTTCTCCCTCTCCCCTCTCTGGAGGCGTCCGATCTCCCTCAGCCCTCCGCCTCTCCCACCTTAATTAAACACTGAAAACAGAAATAAAATACAGAGACATTCTTTTCTATTTTAATCTTATTTAGCTATATTTCTCCCTCTCCCCTCTCTGGGAGCATCCGACCTCCCGGCCCCGCACATACCCCCGAGGCTCGGGTCTCCCCCTCCGTGGAGCCCTCCCGCCCTCCCGTCCCCGCACATACTCCTGAGGCTCTTTTGGACGACATGTCGACAACTCTTCACCTGCTGCAGCTCTGCAAGTGCCTGCCAGCGCACCCCTCTTATTGTTCAGATGTCGAGTGCTGTCAATCATTGCAGCGACGCATGGGCGGTCAGGTCTCTTCTCTCCTTCCTCGAGCTGATTCTAGGCGCGCCTCACGGTAGCGCATGTGCGCATCCATTGCGCAAATGCGTCCCCTCGCGCAAAATGTGGCCCCCCATGGAAGATGAGGCCCTACTCACAGCGCGTGTTCTGCGTTCAGGGAGGGGCGGCCCTGGCTAGACTTTAGACCAAAACAAAACGATCCTCACACATCACACCTATTTTGGTTTCCCTGCATTGGCTTCCAGTCTCTCTTTATAAAACTTGTAGGAAAGAATCCTGTACACTTTCTAAATTGCAAAAATAATGATATTAATGCTCCTGCAACGTTTCGGTGACTAGACGTCATCAGGGTTTTATCCTTCTCGCCCCTCTCCTATGTACCTGTATGGAAGTAGGTGTAAAGCAAAGTACTCCTTCATTTAAAGTTCCCTTAATTACATACAAAGCTCTCAATGATCTGGCACCAGAGTATACATGTAGCTTCTCACACTGTACAGCCCAAACAGGCCTCTCAGGTCTGCTAGTTTGGGTTTTCTAACTGTTCCAGGTTAAAAACAAAGGGTGATCGAGCCTTTTCAGTTCTTGCTCCTCACTTTGAAACAGCCTCCCACTGAGCATCAGATCAGCTGACTCTGTTCATGTCTTTAAATCTCGTCTAAAAACGTACTATTGACAAAATGTGTATATGTATGTATGCATACAGGTGTATATGTTGGTGAAGGTCCATGTATGTGCTTATTTTTTATCAGTATCTCTTCTGTTTTGTATTTTCTTCACCTTGGAAAACACTTAAGTGCTCTATAAATAAAGTTATTATTGTTTATTGAATATAAAGATATATAAAGACAGAAAAGGCTGACTTGTCCTAAATCACAAATTTGCTGCAAAAGGTTTTACGATCTGTACGTCATACATTTGTCACCCACTATCTTTAGCCTGTTGTGAATGATTTAAACACATTGTTTTGCCACAGAATATTGCTGATGGTTAGAGATGCACACTTTTAGTGGGCTCACCCGACCATAACCATTGCACTGATTGATACATATATTATTTGTTTCGTGCTTTATCAATTGACTGATCACCAGTAAACTGACTGAATGACCTCACTGCTTCCTCATAATAGTTTATACATTTACTGTTTCCTGATTCTATATTAAACAGCGACATCAGAGGTCACAAGCTCAGCACCAAATCAGTTACCATATATTTTTTTATTGTGTATGTGTGTTAAGCCCGTTGGTAACAACCTCAGTGTGAATGTAACTGTCATACTGAAAGTGTGTCGTAGTTGTGACTGATTATAGAGCTCGCAACTCTGTTTCATTTCACAGCTTGTAGTACTTGGCTGTGCGTCGTGTTAGTGGAGTTGTGATGGCATCTGACACCAGTGAAGCAGTGTCCTCCAGTCCAGACCTCAAGCTGCAGTTCGCTCCCTTCAGCAGTGCTCTGGAGGCCGGCTTCTGGCACCAGCTCACGCAGAAGAAGCTCAACGACTACAGACTGGACGAGAGCCCCAAGTGTATCAAAGGATATTACTACAATGGTGAGTGGGTGAGATATCAGATGGTATCATTAAAACAATAACTCTTAAGTTGCTCTTTTTATTAACTTTTTTTCTTGACACCTCTAGATATTATATAATACTAATATTAATTACACAGGTGGCACAGGGGAGGGCATTGAGTTTATCTTGAGCAGTATGCTTTATTAAACAACTTTGAAATATTGTGACCGTTTTGTTCACACCTCTGTCCTATAGGGGACCCACTCGGTTTGCCCACCCGCCTGACATTGGAGTTCAGTGCATTTGAAGCGTAAGTATGATGCAGTATGTTGCCTTTACAAACCATATCTTCACCCTCAGTTCTTTTTGTGACACTTAGTCTTTTAAGGTGTAATGAACGATACAAATGTGAGTCTTGATTTGTTAAAGTCTTTTAATACGGTAAACAATAAGTATACTTTTTTTAAATGCTTTATTTTTTCAAGCCCATTTTCATATATACAGCGTATTTGCTTTTTTGTTTACAATTCATTGCAAAGAAAAATTTTGGTCAGAGTTAAAGGGAGAATAAGTAGAGAAAAACATGAAAGATGCAAACAACCAATACATTCAGAGTTTAAAAATGATAGAGGGGGGAAAAAGGGGAAAAAATAACTGAACGGTTAAAGAGATGCAGTCTTAACTTACAATAGAAGATAATAACTAATAAGACATTTTTATGCATTAAATACATTGACAGTATAGAGTTTCCCATCTTCTATAAGCCACCTTTTCTCAAACGCATCTTCTTTATTCCGTATTTTGTGAGCCCCTTGCTACATGAACTGTACTTGTTGAATCATACTTTCCCATTTTATTAAATCTGGGGTGTTAGTTTTTTTCCACCCTTTGGTTATCTGTTTCAATGCTGTGATTCTCAAGATTCTGAATAGGTAGTTTTCATCTTGACTAAGAGTAGCTGGAGGTTTTTCTCAAAATGATATGATACAGAGGTTTTTAAAACTCTTCCATCAATGTAAACAATAAATATTCTAAGTTATAGATGGTTTTTCCTGCTCTAAAAGGCACTGAACACTTTAGATTTTTCAATTATAAGTTAAAATCAAATCATCAGAAATTACAGATTGGATCATTTATTAATCTACACCATTGATTCCCAATTTGGGGGTTCTGATCCCCACTATGAGTTGCCAAAGCTTCATGGGTCGCCTTCTTGATTTTAAAGTGTATAAGAAAACTTTTTTTTTTATATACAGTACAGTAGGCCTATATCTCTCTTCAGTGAAGAAAACTAGATGAAATTGTTATTCTTAAAGTTCAGATTACTTTCAAGACATTAACTTACAAAAAAAAGGATAAGGAAGACAATGAAGATGTGAACACAGCCTTCACTCTCTGCTAAACAACTGCTAAACTGCTAAACGGTTAAAACAACCAAAGAGCTAATAGAACGATGGGAAGCATTGGGGTGAAAAAAGACTGAATTTGTCGAAAAAGAAGCCTATTATTATGTGGTTGTTAAAAAATAGATGATACAGACAGAGAATCATATGAAAATTTCCTAAAATATCAGATATCAAATCTCTGATTCAGTATTCACAGGAAGTAACTGCTTAAAATTCTTCACATTCTTCTACACAATGGTGAGCATCCTGACTGTTTATTTAAAAAAAAGAACAGGATATGATTTTACTGCAGCAATTATCAAAACTTTTTAAAGGAACACATTCATAGAAATTAGGAAACAGTTACTGTGGTCGTATCCTTTTTTGAGCTTCTGAACAGTATTTATAAAAGTTGAGTGAAGTTTTCATTGTTATGGAATAATGAATGTTTGAACTTCCTTTAAAGTTTATCAGCCAGGTCAGTTTAGGGTTGAACTAAATTTGGATCACTGCTCACGTTCCTGTCGTTCCTGTGGAAGCCTTTAACAAAGCAACTGTAATAATAATGATAATAATTCATTTTATTTAAAGGTACCTTTCAAGGCACTCAACATCACCTTACAGAACAAGTAACAGACAGTTAAATTTAAAAGGGGTAAAAGACACATCAAACATCAACACAGTAAAATGTGAAATCTGCAGCAGAGCAACGGCAATTAAAGAGAAAAGGCCTGTTTAAAAAAAGTGGGTTTTCAGGCGGGATTTGAAAATGGATAATGAGTCAATGTTCCTGATGTCAGGGAGTGAGGGAGTTCCAGAGGCGGGGGGAAGAGCGGCTGAAGGCTCTGGACCCCATGGTGGACAGATGGGCAGAGGGCACAATGAGGCTGATGGAAGAGGCCTACCTGAGTGTCTGGGAGGGAGTGTTGATGTGGGGGAGATCAGAGAGGTATGGGGGAGTGAGGTTATGGATGGCCTTGAAAGTGTGGAGCAGAAGTTTAAAGTCCATGCAGTATTTGACCGGAAGCCAGTGAAGCTGTTGTAGGATAGGTGTGATGTGATTGATGGATGGAGTTCTGGTGATGGAAATGGGCGACAGAGTTCTGGACCAATTGGAGCTTATGGATGGCCTTGTGGGGGAGACCAAAGAGAAGGGAGTTACAGTAATCCAGACGGGATCCAACCAGAGTGTGGACCAGGATGGCAGAGGTCCTGGGGGTGAGGGACGGACAGAGACGATTAATATTGCGTAGATGGAAATAGGCTGACCAGGTAATGTTATTGATGTGGGTTTGGAATGACAAAGTGCTGTCAAGGATGACACCCAGACTCTTAACCTGAGGGGAGGGGGAAACAGAGGAGTTGCCAATGGGGATGGTGAAACTGGGAGTGTTAGTGACGGTGGATTTAGAGCCAATGAGGAGAACCTCGGTTTTGTCACTGTTGAGTTTTAGGAAATTTGAAGAAAACCAGGATTTGATTTCCTTTAAGCTGTCACAGAGGGAGGAAGGCGGGCAGGTGGAGGTGGGTTTGGTGGAAGGGTAGAGCTGAGTGTCGTCCGCGTAACAGTGGAAATGGATATTGTATTTAGGGAATATATGACCAAGAGGGAGGAGATAGATGATAAACAGGATGGGAATGAGGACAGAGCCTTGGGGAACACCTGAGGAGAGGGGAGATGGTTGGGATGTGAAGGTTTTCAACTGAATGAACTGAGTGCTGCCAGAGAGAAAGGATTTGAACCAGTCCAGGGGTATGTCAGATATTCCAATTGATACTAGAGGAGGATGGTGGGGTAGATGGTGTCAAAGGCTGCACTCAGGTCAAGGAGAATGAGGATGGTTAATAGTCCGGAGTCAACTACCATCAGGAGGTCGTTGATGATTTTTAGGAGAGCTGTCTCTGTGCTGTGACGTGGGCGGAAACCAGACTGGAACTGTATTCACATTCACAAAATGTAGCACGTTGTAAACAAACAATGCATTCATATTGCAAAGGTATGATGTGTTTTGCTCTTAGGGATAGTCCGACACCAGCCCGCTGCTGTCCAGCTGTTGGGACGCTGTATAACACCAACACACTCGATGCCTTTAAGACCACCGATAAGAAGGCTCTGCTGGAGAGAGAGGCCAAGGAGGTAAAGACATACAATGGGAATGTTCTCAATCACACACACATATACATATACATGAATTAATTCAGTTTTCACCTTCTGTTATTTTGTAGATATGGGATGCCATACAGTCCGGAGCTGCGTTTAATGACCCGTCCATCCTTTGCAAATTCATTCTGCTGACCTTTGCAGTGCGTATAAACAGCATCTTATGAATCCATTAGTTATGTGTAGTAACGACTTCATGTGAGACTATCTTTCTGTTTTCCTCTCACTGTTTTTGCCATTTTCAAATCCTTTCTCTGACCATCTTTTTCAGGATTTGAAGAAATATCATTTCTACTACTGGTTCTGCTTCCCTGCACTCTGTTTCCCTGAGGGAGTGAAGATCATCAGACAGCCATCTGCACTGGAGCAAGTCTTCTCACCAAAACAGGTTTGCTTTTTAAAGATCATCATACAGTACAACCACTGGGATCAATATTCTGGACAGTACACTTTGAAATTAAACTGGAGGTGCATTACTCCAGGATTACTACTACAGGATTGCACAACAATGCACATATACACAAGTAAGTATACATATACAGTACATAGAGTGTCTTTGGATTATAGTAGGGATGTGGGTTATGTGAACGATGGTGGTATGGCCATCCTCTAAATTTCTAAATCTAAATAGTTTTCAGGTGTTTGACCCCAGATGTTGATAACAAACACGACAGAAAGTGTACAGTTGAACCCTCGTATGATGTTCACGGTACCATAAGCTGATGAATTTCTGTGATGTACGTTGGACAGATAATTCAAATATTATATTCCATGTCCATTTCCTCTTCACTAAGAAATGAGATGGTTGCAGCCCCTCGTTACTTGAATAGAATAATGAAGTAAAATTGTTAGTTCTCAGGTCAGTGGATTCAAGATGAGAAAAAGCCTCATTATGACTGAACAAGAATGACTCATGAGCAGCATGACACCAACTGCGGGCCACAGTGATGACGATTTCTCCTGGGTTAACTTTTACTTCATTATTCTGTCTATGGTTTCTCTTCCTATCAAACTGAATTATCAGTGTTATGTAACACCTTGACAGATAATAACTCAGATTCATGAGCCTCCAATCAAAGTTTAATCAGTTCAGCACTAAGATGAAGCCAGTGTCACAATATGACTTCACTGACCAGTGTCTCAGCCAGTCTGACTCTGATAAAGTCTATGAGAAAACACTGCACATTACATACATAAATAAAATTGATTTTCTTGTCATCTGAGAAATATGAATGAGAAGACACACTAAACAGTTACAGTGTATGTGTTCATAATCACTGAAATACTTCTTACAGCAGGAGTTATCCGTGTAATGAATGCCAAAATATCCTTTCATTGAGTGTAACTTATATTTCAGCAGTTGCTGACATTATGCTTCAGAAAGCGTCTCAGGTTCTCATGCGGGAGGTGGCTGTGACTGAACAAATGAGATTGCAAATACAAGCGGATGGAAATTATATTTCATTCAACATTGATTCAAGTAGGAAAAGCCTAATTGGAATTAAAAATCTTTACAAGAATGTCCTGGCAAAGACAGTCAGCAGCACATTTAACAAAGTTGTACACAAAACAACGCATAGCAGGTACAGAAAATAAAAGAAAAATTCAGAATCACAGCATACTAATAAATCAGGTCAGAAATATCCTGGATCACATAAAATAAAAATAAGCAAACAAGAAACAAGTGGCTTAAATTACTTTCCTCTGTAGCGTTCATTTTTTGAGATAGAGTAAGGAGCTTGGAGTAGAGCTGCTGCACCTTTGCATAGAAAGGAGCCAGTTGGGGTGGTTTGGGCATGTGATCTGGAGGCCTCCTGGGCCTTCTTTTGGAGGTTTTCTGGCCACGTTCAACAGGTACAAGACCCCAGGGTAGACCCACATCATGCTGAAGAGATTATATATTTACCTTATCTGGGTTGAGAGCACCTCCAGATCCCCCAGGAGGAGTATCTGGACTGCCTTTCTAGCCTGCAGCCACCGTGACCTGGCCCCAGATAAGAGGCAGAAAATGGATGAATGGATATTATTTATAATTGCCCTTTAAACGCTCAATATACAGTACAGGCCAAAAGTTTGGACACACCTTCTCATTCAATGCGTTTTCTTTATTTTCATGACTATTTACATTGTAGATTCTCACTGAAGGCATCAAAACTATGAATGAACACGTGGAGTTATGTACTTAACAAAAAAGGTGAAATAACTGAAAACATGTTTTATATTCTAGTTTCTTCAAAATAGCCACCCTTTGCTCTGATTACTGCTTTGCACACTCTTGGCATTCTCTCGATGAGCTTCAAGAGGTAGTCACCTGAAATGGTTTTCCAACAGTCTTGAAGGAGTTCCCAGAGGTGTTTAGCACTTGTTGGCCCCTTTGCCTTCACTCTGCGGTCCAGCTCACCCCAAACCATCTCGATTGGGTTCAGGTCCGGTGACTGTGGAGGCCAGGTCATCTGCCGCAGCACTCCATCACTCTCCTTCTTGGTCAGATAGCCCTTACACAGCCTGGAGGTGTGTTTGGGGTCATTGTCCTGTTGAAAAATAAATGATCGTCCAACTAAACGCAAACCGGATGGGATGGCATGTCGCTGCAGGATGCTGTGGTAGCCATGCTGGTTCAGTGTGCCTTCAATTTTGAATAAATCCCCAACAGTGTCACCAGCAAAACACCCCCACACCATCACACCTCCTCCTCCATGCTTCACAGTGGGAACCAGGCATGTGGAATCCATCCGTTCACCTTTTCTGCGTCTCACAAAGACACGGCGGTTGGAACCAAAGATCTCAAATTTGGACTCATCAGACCAAAGCACAGATTTCCACTGGTCTAATGTCCATTCCTTGTGTTTCTTGGCCCAAACAAATCTCTTCTGCTTGTTGCCTCTCCTTAGCAGTGGTTTCCTAGCAGCTATTTGACCATGAAGGCCTGATTGGCGCAGTCTCCTCTTAACAGTTGTTCTAGAGATGGGTCTGCTGCTAGAACTCTGTGTGGCATTCATCTGGTCTCTGATCTGAGCTGCTGTTAACTTGCCATTTCTGAGGCTGGTGACTCGGATGAACTTATCCTCAGAAGCAGAGGTGACTCTTGGTCTTCCTTTCCTGGGTCAGTCCTCATGTGTGCCAGTTTGGTTGTAGCGCTTGATGGTTTTTGCGACTCCACATTTAACGACACATTTAAAGTTTTTGCAATTTTCCCGACTGACTGACCTTCATTTCTTAAAATAATGATGGCCACTCGTTTTTCTTTAGTTAGCTGATTGGTTCTTGCCATAATATGAATTTTAACAGTTGTCCAATAGGGCTGTCGGCTGTGTATTAACCTGACTTCTGCACAACACAACTGATGGTCCCAACCCCATTGATAAAGCAAGAAATTCCACTAATTAACCCTGATAAGGCACACCTGTGAAGTGGAAACCATTTCAGGTGACTACCTCTTGAAGCTCATGGAGAGAATGCCAAGAGTGTGCAAAGCAGTAATCAGAGCAAAGGGTGGCTATTTTGAAGAAACTAGAATATAAAACATGTTTTCAGTTATTTCACCTTTTTTTTGTTAAGTACATAACTCCACATGTGTTCATTCATAGTTTTGATGCCTTCAGTGAGAATCTACAATGTAAATAGTCATGAAAATAAAGAAAACGCATTGAATGAGAAGGTGTGTCCAAACTTTTGGCCTGTACTGTATATGAAAGAGGTTGTTACCGTACTGTGCAGTACAAAGCTTTCTGTAATTATGGCTGACTTCTAATTATTGGTGTCTCAGATCGCAGCCCTACAGGAGGCCTATGATGTCCTGTGTATCAAAAGAGGGACCACTGCAGTGCCTTACTTCCTGATGAAGTACACCGAGGACACTGTTCAGATGGCTCCACTCGGGGACTGGGACAAGTTCTTCGCTGGCACCAAGAAGGTACTACTTGAGTTTTTCTTTTTTCATCTTTTAAAGCAACAGATTAAAAAAAAGTGTAAATCTGTGTATGATAAAAGTATTTTTTCCAACTTTTTAAGTACCTGACAGCCATGTTTAAGTAAAAGCACAGATATCTTACCAGAAAATGACTTTAGTAGAAGTTAGTCACCTATTAGAATATTACTTCAGTACTGTGCTCAAGTATCAAAAGGAATATTATATTAGATGTAATAAAGTATTATCAGTAAAAATACAAGTAAATGCTGGTAATAAAAAAGCAAGCGGTCAGGAATCTGAGGATGATGACGTTTATTTCTTCTTAAAGGTAGGGTCTGGAAGATTTTCCAGTTGCTGTTTGTAAACACATATTCAAATTCGGCCCCTCCTATCAGGCTCAACTCTCCCGGGTGTACGGAGCCCAGAGATACGGAAGAAGGCTTCACAGAACAGGTTCGGGCAAGGCTCGTGATGGTGCACGCTCGGACACACTCGGGCACGGCACCTGTGCTCTCTCATTGGCTGGGGAAATCTCCACCCAGAAGCGGTCCGAGCTCACAAAAACATCAAAATACAGTTAAAGGGCAGGAGCTCTGCAAACAGAGTCACCACCACACATGAGTAGAAGCCCATAGGTGATGATTAAGCAGGATTTCATTTGTATGTCTATATTTTGTTTTGTTTGAAAATCCTCCAGATCCTACCTTTAGTATGTACACCACCTTAAAAATGGAGCATACATTGCACTTGAAGAAAAACAAAGTCTTCTTCACAACTTAAAGCACATGGTGGCAGTAGCTCAGTCCATAGGGACTTGGGTTGGGAACCGGAGGGTCGCCTGTTCGAGTCCCCGTCCGAACCAAAATATGGAGCGTGGACTGGTGGCTGGAGAGGTGCCGCTCCCGGTCCCAGGCACTGCCAAGGTGCCCTTGAGCAAGGCACCGAACCCCCCAACCTCTCGGGGCGCCTGACCAAAGGGCAGCCCCCTCACTCTGAGATCTCTCCACTTTGTGCATGTATAGGTCCTGTTTGTGCATGTGTGTAATTGACAAGCAAGAGTGAAAACATTGAATTTCCCCTCAGGGGGATTAATAAAGTGAATAAACTTAAACTTAAAGAAAACCTTTGACCTCCAGGGCTGACACGCTGCAGTGGAGCAGTCACCGCACGGTTGCCTGTCACAAATCTTTATCCCCTTGAATCATTGTTCGCCCTCGCTGCTGTGGGACGCCATTTTCTGCTTCCATCATGAAGTCAGTCTCATCGTTGAGTGTAGTGTAGTTGCTAGCATGTAGCATCTAATCTGACATGCAGCCAACTGCACTTCACTGGAAATTAGGGCTGGGCAATATGGCAAAAAATATTATCACGATAATTTTCTTGATATTGATAGATAATCGGTATTGATCACGATATGTAATTTGATAATGAGTTTGAAAAGTATCCTGATAATGTGTGACACCTGAAGAAACCAAATGATTTTCCAGCTTCTCACGGCACTCGTCGTAAAGCTGGGGCAGTTTGAGAAAAATATTTCCAGCCTGGGGGCTCGTACCTGCAGTCTAGCACCTAAAGTAATTTCTTGAATCCGTCTTCCTCCAAGGTGCTCACAGGCATCTCGTCTTTGGCTGGAAAGTATGACACTGCATCTGTTTTAACTTTACTCCTTTTCGGTCACTTTCATACGGGATTACGGTGGCAAAAAAGGACACTGTTGATCGCTGTTTTGGTGTGGCTCCACTAGCATTGCCCACAGCAGCAGAAGTGTTAGGCCATAGAACACTTGTCGGTGGACTCACTTCAGTTTTGGCCCAGATTTTCACGCTCTCAGTGTAGTTGCTGGGATGCCACCTTTTCAGGTGATGGAAAAGGTTTGTTGTGACAACTGACCACATATTTAGCAGACCGTCCTTGTCCGTGCCTCGTCACCTTTCCAGAAGCCAAACCACTTCAAAATTATTGACGTTGTGTAACCTTTTTTATCCACTATTTCGTCCATTTTTGAGGTCCATTTTTCCCCTCTTTTAATTATGTCCACACTACTTTCATTTCCTCTTCCCCTCAGCACAGACTTTGCAGTGAAAATGGGCGTGTACAATGACGCGTATCCCCTACACTGCAGACTGACTGACAGCTGTCTCTTAACATCTGCTGCATGACACACTGTTTTGATCTGTAGGTCTGTCCATATCAAGTGAAAATGACTTAAGTTTATCATTTTGTCATCGACATACATTTTATTGCGATCCCGTTTCGAGATTGTTTTATCGTCCAGCCCACAAAGGTTTTGTCTGAAGGGTATTTTTGAGTCTGATTTTGTACATAGACAAAAACACAGAGGAATCTATGAAATTTGCGTTTTCATTCTGTAAAATAACTCCACAATGTTTGATTAAAAAACTGACCATGTGTTGTTTTGCACAAAAAGAGATGAAGTCACTTAGCCGCTCTAGTTGAGTTATTATGGAATTAATAAAATGGAATTAATAAAATAATATCTAAAACTATAAGGTATATTTAGAATAAACTAGTACTGATAAAAATAAACTGTACTTTTTGTGGCTCATCCCCACCATCAGATTAGAATCATTCTCATACACACAGACTCACGCTTTGGTAATGTAAACACACCTTGTTTGGCTTTTCTAGGTTACTGTGGGCGTCTATGATCCGTGTACTCTGTCTCAACATCCGGGCTGGCCTCTGAGAAATCTGCTGGTCCTCTTAGCTGCCCGATGGTAAGCCTGACTTCTGTGTATGTGTTTGTGTGTGTGTGTGTGTGTGTGTGTGTGTGTGTTGGAAGAAGATGAGGAAGTTCTTTAGGGGACTCAGTGTGTTTCAAAACACATGTTGTGTTCGTGAATTTCACTCTTTTGTGTTTTTCAGCTCACTTTATTCAGGCACAGAGCCACAACGTGAAAGACGGGAAATCTTTGCTTAACTAATTTCCTGACTCATTGAAGTGTGGGGAGCAGGTCACAAACATCGGTGTGATGAAACATGCTGATATGAACTCCCAAAGTTAACTGCGTTGCCTGGATAGTTTTGCATCACTACAAACAATCGAAAATAAAAGCTTCTCTGTCACACTCTGACTGAAAAAGACGTGCTTGGCTGTTGCTCAACCTCACAGCGGTGTCGTAAGAGTTCAGCGAGGATGAGATAAACCTGATGAATTGCACTCGTTCCTAGTTGGCAGCGCGAGCTTGCAGAACACGACTGCTGCTGTTAAGACTGCACTACTTGTTTACAAAGCTGTTAAGTTTTCCTGATAAACAAGTTCCATTTTTGTCAGTATCTCACATGTTGCTCACGTCACTGTCTTCAAATAAATCAGACTTTCCACACATTCTGTGATTCAGTCATCCTTGTCTGTAGCTTCCAAGACTTTTTTATCCACGTAAAGAGCTCCAATATTATCATTATTACGTCAGTTATCAGGGCACTCTACTCCTGATTGTTGCAGCCCTTCCAAATAAATACATATTCCGTGTGAAATAGACCACACAGTTGCTCAGTCTAATGCCTACCAAACACCGGAAGATTTTCAGAAGGCTTTTAAAGGACTAAAGTCTGACACCCTCTCACATATAAACACAATGTTTATGACACGTCTCTGTATGTAGGGTGTCAGACTACAGGCCTGCAGTAATTTCTGTCCACTTTTTCCCTCCTCCTCTCTATCATGATATAAATACAAGGACAAAGAGGCACTATTGTCCTCTCCAAATCTCCACCAGTTCCCCCTCCTTTTCTACAACCTAAGAGAGAGACTTTCAATCCCCTGCTCCACACCATGTCTGCTGTCTACCTGGTTTGCTGCCTCCCGGCTGGTGGTGGAGAGAGAGCACTGTTTGCATGAGCAGCGACTGAAAACTGATGATGATATCGAACATGTTTGAATTTATTGGAATGCTTAGAGGAGAAAAAGACGTTGAAGAGCTATGAAGATCACTGGAACATGCCACAGCTCTAGCATACTCTCATGATTTTACTCTGACATTGGCGCTGTCTTTGCTACAGTGAAATAGAATAGAATAGATCTTTATTGTCCACCAGGAATTTGTCTTCGGCTCACCAGACACAAAAGATAACATTGTAAAATCACTTGAAAAGTCCTTTGGAGTCACAGTAAATGGACTGCACTTATATAGCGCTTTTCTAGTCTTCCGATGACTCAAAGCGCTTTTACAGTACACTACATGTCACTTTCACCCATTCACACACACATTCACACACTGGTGACTGAGGCTGCCATACATGTGCCATCTGCTACTCCGTAACCATTCACATGTGCTCACACACCAGTGGAACAGCCATCGGGAGCAATTTGGAGTAAAGTGCCTTTTCCAAGGATACTTGGACACACCAATCTTCTGGTAAGTAGACGACCTGCTGTGCCTGAGCCACCGCCACCCCGGAGTAAGGCAGCATAAGTCAACTACAAGGCTGGTTTATGAACCCATGCCAGACCATGTATGACACATACAGCACACAGCAGCTGTTGTCCGGACACCATAGGCTATCTTGTGTAAACACACACATATGGCATGTGGTATCAATGAATGGCGAGGCAGTGTATTTTGGGCTTCTGGAAACTCCTGAAACTTATGAGCTACGTATTTAGCCGGACACTGAATACTCTATTTCTCATCTTTTCAGTGATTATACATATATTCATGATACTTGAGGCAGCCTTTGATGTCATGAACTTGAAAGTTTTTTTGTGGTTTAAAAAGCAGTAACAAACTCTGTTCTGCCATTCAAAGGCTGACGGAGGTGTCTGGCAGCAGGGAAATGGGAGGAAGTTATGTGAAACTCCCGTATTAAAAGTTAGTAAGTGAAGAACACAAATGAGACGTCTGATTTTGTGAATAAGAAAAAAAAGTCACAGCATTACAATGTTACAGCTCATAAATTGCTGTGTTTACTGATCGGAGGTCTCATTGGAGGCAGGAATGAAGGTGGTATGTGGAGGCTTGTGTGTGTGTGTGTTTTGCAGAGCGATATATTTTTCTGAAATATTTACAAAAGAAATATTTCAGCATACCAGCGGATAACTGGTGCAAGTCTTTGGATTGTTTAGTAATAAATCTAAGAATCAAGGTCGGGAGTATATTCAAATATTTACACAGAGATTAGAAACAAGTGACGTACTCTGCAGGTGTCATTCAGACATTTTAATCCCGTGTCAGCTTTTGACTTTCAATCAAAGGTTTATCTCGTGCAATGTTTTCATAAGCACACACTGCAGCTTTGCAGTATGGTCAAATAGCAATCTGAGATTATGTGGGAAACATCTTATAAGGCTGATACAATATTAGGAAAGTATAAATGAAATGATAGTGTCAGCCAATGATGGAAGCACTTTGCTATCTACAGTACCTAAAATAGTTTTCTGTTTATAACAAATATAGCACCCCACTTACAGATGATTTATACTTCATGTTAAACAAGGCCATGCTTAAAGAGCGTATTCCCCTCCACATCTCATTATTTCAGTCCGTTCCTTATCTTGTTGCAAACCAGATCAGGGGCTGTGTCCTTAAAATACATGATCAAAAAGCCCCTACTTCAGCTACTGTGTCCAGTCTTACCATGCCAGAGTTTTCCCATGTTTTGCTGTTCATCACGAATCACTAATACTTTATAAAATCCCCAGCCATTTCAACTGCAGGCTACAGAGCTTCATACTTATCATGCATGTGTTTTCCCACACTCCAGTTATAGTTATTTTGATCGCTTTTATTAGTCAACCACAATACTCAAAAGAAGAGGATTTATGTGCTTTAGAGTGATGAAACACTGTTAAACAATGACACACCAGGGACAAATGGATAAAAGTGGAGTACCAGATAAACTAAACAAATAGGACCTGAGATTATTCTTTAAAAAAATGGATGGAAAATGCAGGAGCAAACCTCAAACATCAGCAGGAAGGCTGTTCTATACTATGGCAACATGAACACTGAATGCTTTGTTGCCAGATATTCAAATGATTGGTTGTTCGGCAAAGTCAAACTTGAGTGGTAATAAAGTTTGGAGTGCAGATTGATTTACTACAGAACAGTAATATGATTTTGACGAAATAGCATAAGACATGATAATAACTGTGATGGATTACTACTCTTAAACAAGAGTAAACAACTACTAATCTCTTTAAATTTATCTTGTCTGGATATGACAGAAAACATCACATCATCGTGTTGCATCATCAGCTGAGAATGTCACTACATTTTTGGTGCTCCATGTTTCACTGCTACAAAGCTCAGCTCAGTTTGGAAACAGCTCAGTTTGGAAGTGGTGTATTCACCTCTAAATTCAGGTCCACAATCAGTCATTTTGAGTCCCACTTTTCCCTAGAGAGCGTAGTTTTTCCTGGCTTAGATTTTTATTGCATAATTATTTTTCATATAAACAAGGAACTCCCATCAGTGCCATTTTAGCAACAGCGTCCTGTGATACCGGTGGCTTATCAGCAGCAAATACCTTAAGACAGTTTAGCCCTAACGGTCTGTAGTCAGAGGCAGTTTTTATCCAATACAAACCTCATCAATCTTGTGCTCGACCACACTTTCTCGCAGTGTTAAACATAAACTGTTGATACTGGCTGAGATGGGTCGAGATAGAATTACAATGTAGCCGCAGTGTCTCGCTTATTCAGTTGTTTCACTTGAGTTTGATTGTGTAATGTGACTGTGGTTATTTAGTACCATATTAGGGGAAATATGTTGGTATTTGGATACATGGTGATCATATTGTTGTGAGTGCTCATTTATCTGTGTGTGTTGTGTCTTGTATCAGAGAAAGAGAGAGCATACTCCATGTTAAAGGACTGTTGTGTGGTAGGGCACTCACAACTGCAGCTTTCTAATATTTATAGACAACTCCCAAAAGGTAGTCGACTCGTCAGTTAATCGCAGTCATATATCTTTACAATAACAATGATCAGTCCTCATCAAAGCAATCTCAAATACAACCAGTAAGGGTTAACTGAGGTAGCTGCGACCCAGAGTCCTCAGTTGGCTTTGAGAGACTGTTTACAAATGAGCTGTGATCTGATTGGACTTAACCCCCGACAGGCTTGTCTGAACTTGAGATACTGTTTGACTGCAGTAACAACATGACTGCTTTCTTGCAGGGCTACGGGAGTCTTTCCTTCTCTAAATACCCTAAATTCTTTTATCTAACTTAGCATAACGTAGAAAATGGTTGGTCAAACAAATCTGTGTTCAACAACAACTAAAGATATGTCCACCTTCAGTTGTTGGGAGGCATCTCAACTCACAACCATGACAACAACTACCCACAGTGCCCCGGGCTGCATATCTGTGGTAGATGATGATAGTCAAATAGTCGACTACTCCATGAAGCCATGGATGTATAAAGGAAACTGGATGCAGCGTTCAAAGTGGAGACCTGTTTATTTCAATAAAAGTTGCTCAGAGGTGCATGAACAAAGAAGTTCAACTTCCTGGGTGTAAAATTACTTGGGTGATTGGCACTGCTACCGAACTGTGTAGCCCATAGAGCAGGAATACTAGAAGAAGAAGATGAAGAAGGAGGAGAAGAAGGAGACGACGAAGACGAAGATGACGAAGAAGAAGAAGAAGGAGAAGAAGACAAAGAAGACGAAGAAGAAGTGCCCTGAGCAGTTCGGGGCTCGGTGCCTTACGCAAGGACACCTCAGCAGTGCCCAGGAGGCAAACTGGCACCTCTCCAGCTACCAGTACACGCTCCATATTTGGTCTGGATGGGGACTTGAATTGGCAACCCAACGGTTCCCAACCAAGGTCCCTATGGACTCAGCTACTGCCCCCTCAACTTCTGCTAGCTTCGGTTTAGCTCTTCACTAAGTTGAGTGGGGATAAAATGATTCAACAGTGTGGAGTCATTTTGCCGGGATGTTGTTACACACTGATTTAGAGATAACTCTTTCGCAATCCGAGTCTGGGGAACATGGCATCACGTGACAAATGTAATTCCACCGTATGGCCACTATGAAAATTGGCTTCAGTGGGCACTTCCTGGAAACCTGTGTAAAACGTCAAGTATGGAGGATTTATTGCCATCCTGCTGTTAGGTTGCAGATTGAATACCACCTCCTTTACCCCTCCCTCTCCAAGTGTGTAGTACCCTGGAAATCCAGAGTTCCCGCAAGAGCACAATTTGAATTTGCTCAGCGAGTCACTCTGGCAATCAGTAATGATGCTCATTACCTATGCCGTTGGAGCCGAGCTGCACCAATCACATCGGTGTATCTGATATAGGCGGGCCAGAGGCGAGCTAAACAGATGATGACAGCGCTGCAATGACGAAGTCCGGAATCAGTCAGTAAACATTGCAAGATGGCTACGGATGAACACCAGTTGTTTGAAACGGCTTTGGCCGCTACAATGAACAAGCTAGACTTGGCTTTTTCTCTAAAAGAGGAACAGAAGACGGCGCTCGAATCTTTCCTTTGCAAGAAGGACGTTTTTGCTGTTTTGCCAACCAGATACGGCAAGAGTCTAATCTACCAGTTAGCTCCGCTGGTAGCTAAGCTCTGGATACGTCACCCCGTGTATTGTTCTGATTGGTCGTAGTGTTATCCAATTGCGTGCAGTGATATTTTCAAATGCATGCTTGGTGCCGCCCCTCGAGTTGGGCCATTTGTATTACTCATAGCCAGACCCTAAATCTTTCTAGATTTGGGTTTGGATTTCCAGGCTAAGTGTGTAGTAGAAACTATGGTAACCTTCAGGTAACATAGAAGCATGAGAAACCCTCTCTATAGCCCGTGTTTGGCTTGTCCTTTCTGTACTACTGTAGAAATATAGTGGTGCAAGACAGTGGGCTCTGTGGAGGAAGCTCTGCAGCAATATACCGTGAAGCTGCACACTGTGGAATGAAAATTGATGGTTATTATACCATCTACATTTGCTTATTTATGGTACTGACAAAAATGCAAGCTAAACAGAGAATCTCACCTGCGGGTGCGCAGTATTTGTTCCACCAAAAAAAAAAAAAAACAACTTCTGTTTTCTTTTTAAGGGTCATTGTAACTAAAAATGATGGTAGTAACTGTGTAATACCATATATGGTATGAGACAGTTTTCGTGCTGTGACAATCTCTGACCATTGCAACCCTACTATGTAGATACAAACGGCTCATTCTAGGTCAACGAAAACACAACGATTCTTAGTTTCAGGTAATTATACACCAGAGAAAACATAGTTATGAATAATGTAGTCCATTCCTTCCCCTGAACTTTTTATCTTCTGATCTGTAATCTGTGCATGATCATTGTTTGACTTTTGCATCTCCTTTGTGTGTGTGTGTGTGTGTGTGTGTGTGTTTGTATATGTGTGTGTGTGTTTCAGGGGCTCTAAGCTGGACATGGTGGAAGTGCTGTGTTTCAGGGACAGAACTCTGCAGGGAAGCCGCTCCATTCAGCACAGTGTCATCTTCCAGATTAAACTACCTGAGCTTCCCCTCAACTCAGGTAATTTCCATTCCTTTATGTGTGTGTGTGTGTGTGTGTGTGTGTGTGGGTTCCTGTGTGTGTTGTATCTGTACACGTAACAGTATGTAACATGCCTGTGTGTGCGCTGGTATGTTCATCTGAATGTGAATGTATTTTAACTGATATGAACCCTCAGTCCTTGCTACTTTCCATTGAGACTTTGTGCTTCCTTTTCAAGCCATGCTAATCTCACACCGCTTCTCCATTATTCTTTTATCTGTGGAATAAGGGATGAAAGTAATTTAAATGTTAATAGCAGGATGGGAAAAAGGTGTGAAAGTTTTTGTCGGTTCAGACGAGGTGTCTTTGTTTACCTCACTCTACCTCTTAAGCACATCATGGTTTTTAATTAACTCACAGTTGATGTATTCATGCAACAAAAATTGATTCAGCTGTTGTGTTTGCTTTTGCATGGACAAATTTGGTATTGTTTTGAAAGGGATTAATCAATGCACCCTGTGGACACACCAGGCTCAGTTCTTGCCACAACTAAAAAGTGTTTTCTCCTCAGAAAGGGGAAATAAACATTGTAATTAACATTTACATTATCAGTCAAGAGTCAGTATTAAATTCAATTGAGCCCACGCAGTCTATTTAAAATGCTCACTTCCAACCAATTTTCACAGTTTTTTTTGTGTTACACAGCAACAAATGCTGAATGGTGAAGAATTAACTGTGGGAAGTAACTGTGTCAAATGAAGCATCAAAGTGTGTGAGAGAGACTGCCAAGTAGAAAAGCAAATGTCAGAGTTGAGCTGTGTTGATTTGAGCAAATAAACTTATAGTTTGAGTTCACGATAATGTTCACAACAATCTGGACCACATCAGATACTGCTACAATAATGTAAGGCAGTTTGTCTAATCTACATTTAAAAGAATCAGTTAATTTATTATTAATAACAATAATAATAAACTTTATTTCTATGGCACAATTTAAAACCAGAGTTAGAGGGTGTTTCACAAATTACTATACAAGATAGGTGCAAAGACAGTTAACCATAGAGAAGTAAAACATAAAATTTAAAAGAAGATCATACAGAGAGAAGGGATTTTAAAAACTATTGAAACATAAAGAGATAAAACAAAATGTAAAAGAACAAAGCAACAGGAGCAGCTGTGGCTCAGGAGGTAGAGAGGGTCATCCACTAATCGGAGGATCAGCAGTTCAGTCCCTGGCTCCTCTAGTCCACATGTCCAAGTATCCCTGAGCAAGATGCTGAACCCCAAATTGCTCCTGATGGCTGTTACATCGGTGTGTGAGTGTGTTAAAGAAAAAAATACTGAGTAGCAGGTGGCACTTTGTACAGTAGCCTCAGGCACCAGTGTGTGAACGTGTGTATGCATGGGTGAATGTGACTTGGAGTGTAAAAAGCACTTTGAGTGGTTGGAAGGCAGTCCTACCAAAAAAATAAATAAAAAAAATATATATTTATACACAAGATGCCAGTCTGTACAGTTGGCTTTTAAGGGCATGACATCTATATATCTATATATATCTATATATCTACATATATATATATATATATATATATATATATATATACATATGTATATATTAAAGATTATTTTTTTGGGCTTTTTGCCTTTAATGTGCTGGACAGCGTGAAATGGGGAGACAGAGAGAGTGGGGGGACGACATGCAGCAAAGGGTTGCAAGCCGGAGTTGAACCCGCGGCCGCTGCAGTGAGGCATCGCCTCTATACATGGGGCGCCGGCACAATCCGCTAAGCTACCGACGCCCCACATGACATGTATTCTATAGGACGTTGGGTGGAATGACTAATTCATGCAGTGGGCCTTTTCCTTATTTGTCATGGCACCTGTTATAATATGTTTAACTAACATTTAAAAAATATTTTTATCTCATCTCTCCTCTTCTGTTTGACCTGCTGTCAGCACTTTTCACAGAGGCTATTTCTTCTTGAGAGAGTATTTACAATGAAAAATGTTGAGGTCTGTATATAATGCAGAATAACTCAGACATTGTCCCTGAAGAGACACATTGTTGTCTCATTTTCTGAATGTGTTTTCACTGCTGTGAAAATTCATTTACTTCCATTGTGTTGGGAAATGTCAGAGATGTCACAGCTGGCTTTGTCAGAACTTGAGTAAGTACACCCAAAGTGTCTGCATGGCCAGATACCACTACAGTGGTGAGTGGGGGAAACTGTGAAACACTTAAACAGTTTTAATGTTTTATTGTTTTCTCACTTTGTAGTAGAGACATGTTGTGCTTATTTTACATTGATAGTCTGTTTTTTCCCCCACAGCATGTCCTAAGAGTGTAGGCTGGGAGAAGAACCCAAAGGGGGCCATGGGACCCAGGATGGTCAACCTCAGTGAATGCATGGACCCTAAAAGGTAATAAACAAAATACAGATGTGTTCAGGTGTAACTGAACTTTATCCACCAACAATTAAAGAAAATAAAAAGGGTATTATTAAGCTATTTTAGCTAAACAATTTGTTTTGACAAAGAAGCTAATTAACAGAAAAGTTTTTACTTTGGTGCTTCATGTTATGGGCTGTTATGGGTTTGTTTTTGTGGACAGATGAAGTAAAACTACTTTGTTACTAGGGATGAGTGAGTACACCATTATCTGTATCTGTGCTCAGAATGTGCGAAGTTTATGCCAGAAGTGGGTGGAGTTTAAATTGAAAGTGGGTCGGGCCCAATCAGAGGTTGTTATTTTATGCCTGAAATTTACATGGATTAATCAGAAGTTGCAATATCTATTACCTATGAGAACAGTATTTACAGAACAGCCTTAGAATTGAGCTTCAAATCATTTTTTATCACAGGAGTAAGAGGTTAAACACAGCTACCAACATGAGGATTTGAGTACAGATATTCGGCTCAATCCTATTTGTTACCTTGAGCACCTTGTGAACACAGACGGTCTTCAGTTGTCTCCATTGACTGTCTGCAGGCTTGCAGAGTCATCAGTGGACCTGAACCTGAAGCTAATGAGATGGAGGCTGGTTCCTTCCCTGGACCTGGACAAGGTGGTCACCACAAAGTGTCTTCTGCTGGGAGCTGGAACTCTGGGCTGCAATGTAGCCAGGACCCTCATGGTAAGGGTGGAAGGGTGAATGGATGGAAAGACAGACTATATTCAGGTTAAAAGTATCCAGGAATCTGACACTTCGGTCTTATGGTTTTGCAAACTGTGTAAATTATTAGGGATGCACCGAATATTCTGTAACCGAATATATTCAGCCGAATATTGCATAAAAACACACATTCGGTATTCGATGGAATAAGTGACAAGCAAGGCCGAATAATAGCAGTGTGTTTTGATGACGCAATCAAACAGCGTGCCGTGACGGACGGAGTAAAATGTCGGCAGTTGCGACTAAAAATAGTTTTGTGCGAGCAAAAGAAATCATTTAGCACGCTGTGCGAGTACAGGTTTCAACCAGCAGCAGAAACAAAAGGCGAATCCTGCTGGTTGTGGGCTGAACGGGGGTCACAGACAGGAATGTATTCCTGTCAAATACGGCGGCCATAGTTGTCCTTGGCGCAAGATAATGGCTTACCGGCGACTGAGAAGCCTGGCTCCAGGTCTGTTAATGTCCTCTTTTTGGTGTCATGACTGCCCAGAAGTACCTGAACAGCCGAGTCGGGCGGCACACAGGTATGTGGCGTATCAGAGGAGAAACGAGCCGTTCACATTTCTCTTTGTGGCAGGTAACGGTCCACAAACCTCACCGCACTTTAGGGACTGTTCTTTACTTGTCAGAGGAGGGTGGCTGGTTGATTTTTATTTTATTTATTTATTTTATTTCGATCCCCCCTATGTTCATCACTTATTGATGCTGTTTTTGAAGTATGAATAAGTCAATAAGTAATTTATTCCATTGAAATATCATTGATGTATTATAGAAAAGTGATTTATCTTTTTATAAATGACAAAAGGCACATCTGCCTCATTTTTGTTGTGGTATCGTGATACTACTCAGAACCATGATATTTTCATTGGTATCGTACAGTGGGATCCAATTTTGGTACCATGACAACACTAATCTGGAGAGGGTTCATCTGCAAAAACTAATGAAAAACTAAACAACGGCGTTCGGTACTCGGTATTCGGCCAAGTGTTTAATATTATTCGGCTTCGGCTTCGGCTTCGGCTTCGGGCCACAAATTTTCATTTCAGTGCATCCCTAGTTTAAAGCCCAACTTGCAGGTTGGAGACCATGGCGAATAAATGTGTAGGAAAATGATGTAGAAACTCATTTAAAACAAAAAACAAAAAAAAATCACACTACAGTGACTTTTGGGGTCGTTTTTGTGAGAGAATTTTGCTTCCGCATCTAAAAACCCATTAATCGGAAGTGACGTATCGTAAGGGAGTCCAGCCGAGTTTGACTGAGTGTAACATTAATAAACATGGATCCCAGTACTAGTTTTGAGACTTAAGAGGTTGAAAATGTACATTCATATGCATATGACGGCCCACAGGCTTATAATTATGAGCCTGCTAGGCGTCCAAGAGACCAGGAACAGATCAGGGTTAGGAGAAATAACGGCCACAGGAGAGAAATAGAGCTGTGGTGCGAGGAGAACCAGTGGAGAACTGGGCAGGTGTCTTGGTGAGCGACCAGCGTTAGCTAACGACAGCTAACGATGTCTAACGCTGTGTTCACATCACAACATTAAGTTTGCCATCGCGTATTAGGTTGTAACAAAGCTACCAATAGTTCTGCCAGTATTAGATAACTAATGCTACTTACCCATAACAGAAACTAATGCGCAAATATCAGCTTGTATCAGACGTATCTTGCTATGCATGTTATAACTCCGCATTACGGTGTATTGACGTCCGCAGGGGAGAGAGGGAGAGAGAGAGACATACGAAGATTTCCTGATAATGTTTTGTATGATAGGTGCTTGTGTGGGAACTGCCAGCCCATGTCCTCAGCTGTGGAGAGTATGTGCTGCAGGGAGGTGGATGCCTTCTGGGCTCTGGTGGAGAATCTGACCCCCAGACCAGATATAACATGCCTCACACTGCCCATCAACCCTCACGCCGCCCGCTCCTGTCTCAAACACGGAGGCCTCCCTTTCCGCGGAGCCCGCCTGCCCTCGCACATACCCCCGGCTCATGGCCCCCGAGGGTCGGGTCTCCGTGCGGGGCCGCGGGGCTCGGGTTCGGGTCTCCCGAGCCTCGGGGGTATGTGCGAGGGCGGGCGGGCTCCGCCGGGAACATAATCCTCCTGTCCAAAGTGAGCGCTGCACAGGACCGCGTTTTTGGTCACAGATGGACCCGTGAAAAAGCGCCTCTTCGGGGCGTCGGTGGCTTAGTGGTAGAGCAGGCGCCCCATGTACAAGGCTGTTGCCGCAGCAGCCCGGGTTCGAATCCAGCCTGTGGCCCTTTGCTGCATGTCATCCCCCCTTCTCTCTCTCTCCCCCTTTCACACTTACCTATCCTGTCCATTAAAGGCAAAATGCCCAAAAAAAAATTTTAAAAAAAAAGGAAGAAGGAAAAAGCACCTCTTCACCTGCACAAAATGCACCCAGGCACGAAAACGCCACTCCTTTTTCTGTCCGGAAAACAGTGGACTTGATGTCCTGACAGACTCGAGTTTGTGCAAGCTGCACAAACACAATAATTCGGCATAATCACAAATGGTAAAATGCACTGTTAAAAACCGAAAAAATAATCACTCAGAAGTTTACTACCGTTCAGACTCACTACCACCTACTACTGCGCATTGGACAGAGGCAGGGTCAAGGACGCAGAGTCCCTCTCATGACGTAGTATCAGGCGATGTTGAAAAAAAAAGCATTTTTAGAAGAGGAGCTAAAAAGAGCCACTTTTTCCTCTGAATTTGTGCCCTTATGTCATGTAAACCATAATAAACTCTGAATTAACTTCTCATATGGTAATTTTCAGACAAGGTTATGTATATATTTTTAAAAAAATGTAATATGCAAGTTGCGCTTTAAGTGGGAGCTCAACTGTACTCCCTAAGAGACAACATTCACAGATATAGATCAGTAAACTTTTGGTGTCGGACATCTGCCATAAATAAACACAGATCACCATCTACATTGACATTACGCCTGGAGGGCAGGTTTAGACAACTAATAAACCTCTGTAAATCAAGAGTTTTGGTGCAGATTACAAAAAGCTCCAACAGACAGAATGTGACAAAAATAGCCTGCATGGGAAAGGAGACAAAGGCTAAAAATTCATCTTGGGAAATGGTCCAACCTGTCACTTTAATTGACTCCACTATCAAAAATATAAGTGGTAAGATGAAAAAATGTTTTGCTTTCTGCAGTCTGTGACATCAGGGCTGCAACTAATAATTATTTTCATTGTCGGTTAATCTGTCAACTATTTTCTTAATAAATTGATTGTTTGGTTCATAAAATGTCAGAAAATGGTGAAAAATGTTGGTGAGTATTTACCAAAGCTCAAGGTGACACCCTCAAATGTCTTTTCTCCACAAAGATATTCAGTTTACAGTCATAGATGAGTAAAGAAAATATTCACATGTAAAAAGCCATGATCAGAGAATTGTGACTTTTTTTAAACATATGATATGATACGATACGATATGTTATTATACAGCACAATACGATATGATGCGGTATGATACGATACGATATGATAATTTATTGTCCCCGTAGGGAAATTCATCTTGGACTCAGGAACTGCACAAGTATCGCAGCCTTACATACATACTTACAATAGTGCAGAAGAAATGGGAAGCATACACCATAAAAACATGAAAACACATACTACACATAATAGTATTGCACATAAGCCATTCATTTATTGCACATAACACCAGCACACAACAGAGCACCATAAGCAAAGCACAACACAGCCTCCAACAAACCTCTTAATAAATGGCTCAAACTGATTATTTGCTTATCAGATTAGTTGGCAGTTATTTATTTTTTTTCTTTCCTTTGTATAGTTTTTTCAAATGAAGCACATACATATATAAACAAACAAAGCCAACCAACAGAAACAACACCTCGACATATAGACTGACAAGACAGAAAAGTTTAGAAAAGAATATCCATTGGAGAAAAAAAAAAAAAAAACGCTGCAGTTACAACTTTTAAAAAAGAGATTGTACAGCAATGTGATGTAAACATTGACAGATGGAGCAATCGTTTACTGCCCTCCAGGGATGAGCAAGTCAGAGTTTCTAGAGGAGAAAGTGAAATGGCTCCCAAAGTTGCCAGAACTTGTCCGATTTATTATTGAGATCATAGGTCAGTTTCTCCAGAGGAAACACAGCTGATATCTGTGATAACCACATATCAACCCTGGGGACCTGTGGAGCAAACCATCGCAGCAGGATGCACTTTTTAGCAGAGTATAAAAGAATCAAAGAAATTGTCTGAAACATGGTGTGAGGAGGAGGAGAAGGAGTCAATGAAAACTGTTTTGCTTGTAACCTCCTGAATTACAGAATGAAACTCTTTCCAAAATATTTGGAGACAATGACACGACCTGAACACATGAAAAAAACATGTACTCTTGTGTGTTTGACATTTAAAACAAAGGTTTGAGCTGTTGGGGAACATTTTCTGGAGGCGGCCAATTATTTTTAGTCGATCAATCATTGCAGCTCTATGTAACATTAAAGAAAAATACAACTATAATTTTGTCTTCTCCCTGCCCACCTCAGGCCCTACACAACATTGACTGGCTGAACGAGGCACAAAAGGGGAATTTGCTGTATAATAAATGTGCCTTTTCTTGTCTCAGTCATTCACATCAGATTCTCAGAGAAGTTATATTGGAATTTATTTCCATAGAAAGAACAGTGACACAAAAATATGTCTCCTGCAGTGTTTGGTATCTTACTATATAATCACGAAAACTCTGTCTGTGTGTGTCTCTTTTCCACGTTTTTCTCCTCACTGACTTGTTCAATCCATGTGAAATTTGGCACAGTGGCAGAGGGTCATGGGCGGATGCGAATGAAGCAATATTGCATCAATTGGCCAAAGGGGGGCGCTATAGCAACCGATTGAAATTGCAAACTTTGAATGGGCATATCTCATGCCCCGTATGTCGTAGAGACATGAAACTTTGCACAGAGATGCCTCTCCACATGAGGAACAAATTTGCCTAAGAACCCATAACTTCCGGTTATATAGATTTTCCGCCATTTTGAATTTTAAAATCGATCTCTTCCTAGGAAGTTTGACCGATCTGCATGAAACTCGGTGAACATAATCTAGGGACCAATATCTAAAGTTCCCTCTTGCCAAAAGTTGGAAAACTTACTAAAACTGAGCTTCTATAAGGCAATGAATATTGTGGAGGGCGTGGCTCATCACATAAAGGTGTATAACATCTCAAGGGTTTCACTGATCACCACGCAACTTTGTAGGCATATGATCACACATAATCTGAGGGGACCCCTCCATTATTGACCCCATCAAACAAAATGGGGGGAGCTAGAGAGCTAATTTCTTATCTAGGCCTAACCGCCATATTGATTTTTACTAAATTTGGTAGATATGTAGAACAGGATGGCTCAAGGTGACTGGAGAAATTTAACTCTAATTGGCAACTGGGTGGCGCTATGACAACAGAAAAATGCTTAAAAATGGCTAAAATGCGACCGATCGCTGTGGCTCCCCCTGTGGCCCAATGTAGTTTTTTGTTGTTTTTTTTTTTCTAATTTTTGGTATGACTAAGTCATGGTATGGTATGTTGTACATAATCACGGAAACTGTCAGTGTGTCATTCTGTCTGTCCCACATTTTTCTACTCACTGATGTGGTCAATCTATGTGAAACTGCACATAGGCATTGAGGATTGGCATAGGTAGAAGGTGACAAAGCTACCAATGGGTATGGACTAGTAATATAATGTTCTTCAATAACCTTGTCAGAAGCTTTGAATCTGATTACCCTAAATCATGAACTTACTTTCTTGTGTGAATATTTGTTAAGCTTTGTAACAACATTATGAAGGATCCCAGGATTTCATCCACAGATTTTATATGAAGTTAATCCCATAACAGTACAAATAACATAATGCTATTTTATGTAAGAACCTACTGTCATTCTCTGATGCTGGGGGAACAGACTACAGTAAAATCCAATGAATGTGCTCTATTCAGCATTCAGATCCAAAAGGCTGCTACCCTGTAGATTACTTTTTATAGTTTTTTTTTTCCGTATATCACAGCCTGCTGGTTATGAATTCAAGTTTTTTCTGTTAGAAACCAAATTAAATCTTTCAGCTTCACTGTAGTTTTTTGGACAAACCGTCCCTGTGTCACACCATCTTTATATGTGGATACACATCTATTTTATTTGGCTTAAAATAAATAAAGAAAGAAAAATTAGTAACAAGCATAACTGAGAAAGAGATGTCTGTGCTTTTGAGGTGAACTGAACAAATAAATTCTAATGTGTTCTGAATGTTTTGCTCAGCTGTGAGAAACTACTGCGGGGTGTGAAATGACAGGCTGTGTTGCAGTAATTTAAATGCACTTTATGTCTGCACTTTGTTTCTGCACTTTACACTTAACATGTGCTCTCGCAGTATGTATTTTTAAATAGCAGCCTTTATGTTCAAGACAACTCTCCCAAGGGACAAATGAGGCTATCTTGAATCTTCTTGAACTAAATGACTGCATTGGAGCCTTGTACGGCTGCCTGCAGTTATGAAGTTCATCTTAGTGCACGTCTCTGGTTCTTTGTGTGCTCGTTATTTACTTTTCCGAGGACACTTTAGAAACTCTGTCAGTCAGTGGAGACATAATGAATACCCCAGTGTAATGTAATTGACAGTGTGGCTGGACTTTGTGTGAACAGAGAATGACATTAATGAAAAACAATACAAATTGTACCTGCTGCATGCTGATGCATCCATTACTGCAAAATGAAAGTGGAATAAACACAGGGTACTAATCCTCCCACTCATCGTCACTAATGCCGTTTACAAAGTGCTGCTCAGGACAATGTTCATGTCAATATGTAGGTATTGAGTATTTTTATGTGATGTGATTAAATATATGAATGATGTTCTTTTTCCTCCTCAGGGATGGGGAGTGAGACACATCACATTTGTAGACAATGCCAAGATCTCTTACTCCAATCCAGTCCGACAGCCGCTGTATGAGTTTGAAGACTGTCTTGGAGGAGGGAAGTCCAAAGCCATGGCAGCTGTCGATCGACTCATTAAAATCTTCCCTGGTGTGGTGAGTACTAAAATGCAGATGATAATGCCCAAGCTGTGGGACATGATATCTTTATCGCTCTTCGTAAGTGAGGATCAAACCAAAGCTTACTCTGTTAAAGTCTGAAATCCTATCATCTAAAAATCCCTTTTTTTAGTTTCTATTACTAATAAAGATGCCCTGATTGTGAAATTCTGGGTCGATACCGATGATTAAAACGATTTTCCCAATAGCTGATACCCATGTCTTTTGTTATTGTTGTTTTTTGTTTTTGTTATTTTTTTTCCCCCTTTGTGCCAGGAAAACAGGCATTTTGAGCCTTTCATACACTGTCTTTCAAAAAGCACAAATTCAATTGTGCACATTTATGAAACAACCTTTAATATAAACTGCTTTGACATAAAACATATCTTTAAAAAACAGATTCAGAAGCCTTTTGGTAACACTTTACTTGAAGGTATCTACATAAGAGTGACATGACACTGTCATAACTATGACGTGACACTTGCCATAAACATTATGTAGATGTCATAAACGTTTATGACTGCTGTTATTAAGTGTCATTCGGTTTTTGTAATGACAAGTTGACATTGTTTGGGTTGTCTTGATTATGACAATTTGACATTAATTAAATTGACATTACCAGAAGTTGTCTTTGTCATGACAAGTTGACATTAAATTTGTTCGGGATGTCCTTATAATGACAACTTGACATTAACCAGGATGACATTACCAGAAGATGTCTTTATGTTAATGTCAAGTTGTCATAATAAGGACATCCCAAACAATGTCAACTTGTCATTACAAAAAACGAATGACACTTAATGACAGCAGTCATAAACGTTTATGACAGGTACATAATGTCTATGACAAGTTTCATGACAGTGTCATGTCACCCTTATGTAGATACCCTCAAGTAAAGTGTTACCACCTTTTTTACTATATCCATCCATCCATCAATTTTCATCCGCTTATCTGGGGCCGGGTCCCGGGGGCAGCAGGCCCAGCAAAGCACCCCAGATGTCCCTCTCCCCAGCAACACCTTCCAGCTCCTCCTGGGGGACCCCAAGGTATTCCCAGGCCAGATGAGATATGTAATCCCTCCAGGGCCTCCTACCAGTGGGACGTGCCCACTACATACTTGTGCTACTTACTATATATATAATACATTATAATTTCCTCTCATATATTTTATATTACTGTACATAACATCAACACATTTCTAATCCAAACAACTGTATTTATTCAAGTTTCTTGCTAAAAAAAAATACTCATTTTTTCTGGATAAAGCTTGATCACATCATATTGTAAATCGATTCACCTTCGTCAGCAGGCAGTTGTGGCCACCGGCTGCTACCAGCTAACATTGACTAGATTTCCTCCGGACGATGTCAGCAGTGGATTGTTGTTCACAATGAAGCTTTATCAGGGAAACAATAGGGCGCGACCCCTGATGAGTCAGTAGTGATTTTTCTGCATCCTTTCATCTGTTCATCTCAAACATGATGGGATGTCATTAGTCTGGAGCTCTGCTTTTTAGCCTGATGTGACACAACAGGAAAACGATCAGTCACTGACGTCTGTGACAGTCATCTTGTCTGTTCATAGGCTGATGGCAGTCAACAAGATGGTTATTGACTGATACCGATGTACTGCTGATAAATTGGTGCCTCCCTAACTCCTAAATCTGACAAGTATTGTGGTTCTGTTGGTTTTTACCGTCATACAGCAGCTTTTGCAAAACTTGACAATATAATCTGAATTTTGTTTATGCTCATAATCATATTCCTGCATAATCATATTCCTGTTTGATTGGTTGTGTCTGAGATGTGATGGCCAAATCATGCAGAAAATGAAGAGTCGTGTTAGTTGTATATTAATGCTAGCAGTTTCATTACTTTGTTAATTAATGAGTGGGTTCTCTAGGGAGATAATTTGCTATATTACTAACTGAAAACCTAGCCAAACACTCACAGCGTGACTCTGTTTTGGCGTCAAAGCACCCATCACTTATTAGTCGACTTGGAAAAACATAGGCAGAATGCATATTTATGATGTGAATCATGTTTACACCTGTATGCTGATGCATGCATGTTAAGTTCTGCAGGAGGATGGAGGCAGTTCATGTGAGGATGATTTACTTTTGTTTTGCTCGCCCTCAGATAGCGTCTAATGCAGGGATTCAGGAGGTCATGAAAGTTGAAATTCAGCAACTTGTTTGCTGAGTTGTTTCCCGTTTGTACGGGTTCACAGCCGTCTGTATGCGGGTAACAGTTACTGCATTATATCCTCTAGCTCAGTGGTTCCCAACCTTTTTGCGACCCCTTAAATGGAACAGTTCAACCTGAGGTTATTTTTCCATCTCACATAGTTTAATTTAAAGGATCTTTCAGGGGCTTGGAAATGTAAGAACAAAGAAAAACAAAAATGTTATTAAAATGTAAGGTTAATTTAGTGTAACAGAAATATTCTTTCTCATCTCTGTTATGATCTCGTCACAACATGTGATGTAATAAAAGGAACTAAGTATATTTACTCAAAAGCAGTTTTGAGGTATTTAAACTTCACTTCTGTTTCCTGCTTCTTTACACTTCTCCCCTGATACATTTAAATATTGTAGTCTCACTCTTCTACATATATGTGACAGCTGTACTTACTTTTAAAATTTAGATTTTACCTGCAATACATATTATTTGTTTATTAAATATGATGCACTGTAATAGATAAAAGTATCCAAATAAAGCCCCTTATTGGCTCACTACCTCTTACATGTTAATGCTTCAATAATAATTATCGAATAATGTCACATTGACAGGTGTGGTTCTACAGAATCAGAGTCTTATGATGCTTTAATTACATTTTATTGCCAAATTTTTCTGTATTTTTACACAAGTACATTTTTGACAGACTGGGCAATATGGAGAGAATCAAAGATTACAGCACTGTAGACCAAATACCTTGATATCAATATTATATTGTAGAGTTGTTCATTGGTGCTTTCACAAAATATTTACTTAATGAAATGTAGTAATGTAATGTGGATATAACGACTAAGTGGCTAAAAAAGCAATAATAGAACAGCGAGAACAGTCTAAGTTTAGAAAATTACATCACTGTATTTGAATGCAGCCTTTAAAATCAGGAAAAGACAACATAATATTACGATCTAAATCTAACGCCCTATTCACATGGGACTAGAACTACCAGGGGACCTTGTGTGATTTAGAAAGTAACCCCTGTATCTGGGTTTCACGCAGTGCATTTGCACTGGATAAGCAAAGCCTCTACTTTACTTGAATTTACTGACGGTACAGTAACTCTACTTTTCACAATACAAAAGCACTACACAGCACCACTAGCACTCCTTTTTCTTTTTAAAAGTGGGTTAAGCAAACACAACCAATTTTGCCACACATTTTCACATAATTAATCTCATTATCATTCAAGATTTTGCTCTTCTGATGGATTTGAGTTTGCTTTTTATATTGTGTAGTGAGACAAGCCACCTGCACCCGAAGTGCTTTCAGAACTTTCATTTATAGTTGCTGACACAGCCTCTGTCATTCATGACTGGGGAAGAGGCAGAAAAGAGGTGTAGAGAAAACAAAAAAACCTAAATATGACCCCATATCACCCAAATGCTGATTTGCACAGGACTAATATTATCACACGATTTCAGTCTTTGGCGAAATATGATAAGTTATTTGTGTTTTTTTTCTTCAGAAATGGCATTTTATCCATATTGGCAAGAGACATCTTTGGAATAGAAGTTGATTGTTCTTTTGTCATATTGTACTTGGGCAAAAGTCTGGGACAATCTCAAGACCCAGGACAAATACCCTTATAAAATACTTTAGGCTGCAAACAAGGAAGCCATCACACGGAAGTGGCTAAAGGCAAGCCCCCCTTCAAAGGACGACTGGATTGCAATTATTAACGAAATTCACTGTATGGAGAAAATAACTTTTTCTTTAAGACTGCAACTTGATCAACATGTAAAGTATGGGAAAAAATGTTTCATATACACAAAGGGACGCAACCTATTGACCTAACCTTCTTTTCTGTTTGACATGAAAATAAATAAAATAAACAAACCATAAAAATAAAGTTAAACAAAAATTACAGACATGGCAGATTTGCACAGAATTAAGATCACAGATGACCTCAGCAATTAATAGAAATGACCTGAGCTTCCCAGGTAGTACTAATCCTGTGTGAATAGGATAATATCTAGTCCTCTATCATGATATTAATAAAAATAGATATATTGCCCAACCCTAATTTTTGAATGCAGAATTTGTTAAGTGTTTAACTGTTTCTGATTTTGCTCATTTCTACATTATCTGAGCTCTTCTACCCCACTGCTGCGATACCAGGAGGAGGTATTGAGGCTAAAAGTTGCTTCGCGGTCAGCAGTTATTCAGGTTTTTGATCTTGTGAATCTTTTGAAGAATCACTTTGAAGTCTTATGAGCCAAGGATTTTTTTTCTTCAGGTGTGGAATATTAATTTTTGAATGCTTTGGAGGGTCCTGTACCAGCAAAGTAGAGCACAGTCTGTGTAATGAAATGTTGTCACCCTCTGGGCTTTAAGGCGACTCGTCCGATTTGACTGAACTGACTCAGTGTGGGACTGGTGAGCTGTTGTGTCATTTGCCTTAAACTCTGTAAGATTGAAGCCTCACTTTAAAGTCACTGACCCATTAGAGCTGCAGTCACGACTTGGTAATAGGTTGTTCCTGAATGAGATATAATGGATCGGGATAATTATGGTGTCACGGACAAGGGGACCTGTGATGTCTCCTTTAAATGCACACGCACACACACACCCACACACACACAAATAATTGACATGCCATCAACTTTATATTCCACTCTCTCTGTCGGCCTTCTGTCATTTTCTGTCTCTCTTACTCTCCTGAGAATAACATAGGAAGTAAAGAACAAAGCTTTAGAGCTTGATGGTTGGCCCTATGCTGTCATGATGTCTGGTGTCTGTCTAGACACTTTGTTTGTCAACCCCCTGTACATGCTGCATCCCTACCTGACCTCCTTTTTATCATTGTGGGTGTGTGCCAGCTTCTCTCTCCTGCCGTCTTGTTTTCCTATAAACACAGGGGCAGCAGGTGCCAATGTGAAAGATAGAGAGAAATATGAACACAGCGAGCAGAGAGCACAGAAATGCATCAACCGAAGCGAGAGGAGTCGGGTGTTGAAAAGGTCGTAAGCAGATTTCATATTTTGTCTGGTGACAAATACTGTCACCTGACATTTACAGGATAGTTTGTCTTCTTTTTTATCCTCTTTAAATTTTGGCAACAGTGAGGTCAGAGCTGGTTGAAGATATCAACAGGGGTATTGTTGGATTGTTTATCTTTTCAGGAAAGGACAATCAGAATGATTTTTTTTTGTCTTTCTTGGCTGCAAGTGTTTGTACTGGAAATTGGAATATGATTACCATCTCTGCAGCCTGAAATCGCCTCCTCATTGCTTAGCAACGCTTGCGTCAAAGTGAAATGTAAATTCAAGACTTGGTTAAGAACTCCCCAGAGCTAACGCGGCAGTTTCACTAATTTGGTAAAAGTGGCCTTTCTTCTTGTTAAGATCTCACACCTCGTCTTTGCCCTTTTCTGCCCTTGACTGTCAAATTACTCTTGACATTTCCATTCACTGTCGAGCCTGCAAAGCCCCCGAGGTAGTCACAGCAATCCAAGTTTGGCAGTAGAAAATAAGAGTCTTAAAACATTTTTGCATAATTAAAAGCAGCGATTCAAGGTTTCCTTTTCATACTGTATCATCGACTTATATTGGAGAGCCGAACGCAGACTGGCCTTGGGTCAGCTGTTGCGATGATTTGATGACACGTTCCACAGAGGGACTGTTGTGTGACTACATCTGATATGCCCTCACTTACGTCTAGACTAGTGAGTCACTCAGCATTAAGCACACACACACACACACACACACACACACGCACACATAAAATGAAAAACATATTCGATTTAAGTTTTCAGCCTCTGGATTCTCACACAGCAGCTGATCAGATCTTGAAGTTCTGGAAATGTGTTGAAACATACTTTTAATTTTTATGATTTTTCTGAGACCAGACCAGTGCGAGTCCCACACTGCAAAATAAAATATGGAACAAGCAAACCATTGGCACTCCTCAAAGTGATCTGTTGTAGTTATGTTCTTGACCAGTCTCAATGTCTTATCTTACCTTATCTTAAATTTCATCGAGTATTCAGCCTCAGATGCAGGTTACTGTATGTTTGTTTTTCAGCTGTGTCTCTCTGCCTCTCTGTCTCTGTCTCCTCCTGCAGAATGCAGAGGGTTACAACATGAGCATCCCCATGCCCGGTCACCCGGTGAATTTCTCTCAGGCCACTCTCTCCCAGGCCCAGAGGGATGTGGAGCAGCTGGAGAAGCTCATTTCAGAACATGATGTGGTCTTCTTGCTAATGGATACAAGGGAGAGCCGCTGGCTGCCGACAGTGATAGCTGCCAGCAAGAGGAAGGTAGGACAAACACAGCAGCCACAGTGTCTCAGTGACAGCGGGGCTGGGGTCATTAAAGCTTGTTTTTCTTTTCACACAGTGTGAGACGACACATCTGTTGCATCCTATGGCAGTATCAAAGCTCAGAGACAGGACACACAGAGTTCAAACAAGGTTATACAATTAAATGGCCGAGCAGACAACACAGAGACTGAGACTGCCAACAAAAAATAATAGAATCAAATTGATAGAAAGAACACAACTAGGTTGATAAACACAGCATGTAGAAAAAACACCTCACTGGCAGATGAACAGGATATAAGTGTGAGTGTTGCACGCCACAGGTCTAGATTAGGGATGCACCGAAATGAAAATTTGTGGCCGAAGCCGAATAAAATTAAACGCTTGGCCAAATCCCAAATACCGAATGCCGTTGTTTAGTTTTTCATTAGTTTTTGCAGATGAACCCTCTCCAGATTAGTGTTGTCATGGTACCAAAATTGGATCCCACTGTACGATACCAATGAAAGTATCACGGTTCTGAGTAGTATCATGATACCACAGTGAAAATGAGGCAGATGTGCCTTTTGTCATTTATAAAAAGATAAATCACTTTTCTATAATACATCAATGATATTTCAATGGAATAAATTACTTATTGACTTATTCATACTTCAAAAACAGCATCAACAGTGATGAACATAGGGGGGATCAAAATAAAATAAATAAATAAAATGAAAATCAACCAGCCACCCTCCTCCCCTTACAAGTCCCTTCATAAGTAAAGAACAGTCCCTGAAGTGCGGTGAGGTTTGTGGACCGTGAACGGCTCGTTTCTCCTCTGACACGTCACATACCTGTGTGCCGCCACGGCTCGGCTGTCCAGGTGCTTCTGGGCAGTCATGACACCAACGAAAGAGGACATTATTGGAGCCGGAATTCTCAGTCGCCGGTAAGCCTTATCTTGTGCCACGAAGCACTATGGCTGCCGTATTGCTGCTGCTGGTTGAAATCTGTACTCGCACAGCGTGCTGAATGATTTATTTTGCTCGCACAAAACTATTTTTAGTCGCAAATGCGAGTGCGTTGACGGACGGAGTAAAATATCGCCACACTGCCGACATTTTACTCCGTCCGTCACCGCACGCTGTTTGATTGTGTTATCAAAACACGTATTATTCGGCTTTGCTTTTCACTTATTCCACTGAATACCGAATGTGTGTGTTTTTTTTTTTTTTTCCAATATTCGGCTATACATATATATATATATATATATATTCAGTTACCAAATATTTGGTGCATCCCTAGTCTAGATGATACTTAAGGCCCTGACACACCAAGTTAATAGTCAGCCTTTGGTCAATGTCAATGTTGTCAGCTTTTTTAAGCCAATAACATCATGTATGCAGAGGTCTCAGGATTTTTTAATAAAGGAGCTGTAATTCACCCACTTAGAATAATACTTACTTCTCCATGTAGTTGGTGAATCTTCAAGCGAGCCCCTCGTGGGCTGCCAGGATACCCAAAACCTGCACTTATATGTTGTTAGTAAATAATGAATCAAATTACAATATGTGATGTGTAGGTAGACGTTTCAACTGATGAATGCACATTGACTTTTTGCACATCTGTGAAGCTTTTTAGCCTGTTTTAGCACCTTGTTTTGGTTGGCACATTTACTGTATGGTAAAGAACAAAGCTTTTGATTAACTGGTCCATCTATGTCCCAGACCTCACCTATGGTCATGAGCTATGGGTAGTGACAGAAAGAATGAGATCCCAGATACAAGTGGTCAAAATAAGTTTCTTCTGAAGAGTGTCTGGTCTTAGCCTTAGAGATAGGGTGAGGAGCTCGGACATCCAGAGGGAGCTCGGAGTAGAGCCGCTGCTCCTTTGTGTCGAAAGGGCTCAGTTGAGGTGGTTCGGGCATCTGACCAGGATGCCTCCTGGGTGCCTCCTGTTCGAGGTGTTCTGGGCACATCCCACTGGTAAGAGGCTCCGGGGCAGACCCAGAACACGCCGGCACTATCCACTACGCTACCAACGCCCCACAAAACCACTTTTTAAGAGAGTTCTTTTGTTGCACCAGACAACTGTCTGTAACATTGCATTGTGATCACAAATATACACATAAAGAACATACATGTTATACATAATTTTGAGGGTGGTATAAAGGTTAATTAAAGGCATCAGGACTGAGGCTTTCAGCGGATCTGTTTGCTCTGAGGATCCAGTGGACCGACACTCACACTGTGGCAGGAGACATTTATGACTTTGTAACATTACTCTTGTTTTACTTACTTTATGCCGGAACTTGGAATTTGGAAACCATTTGATTTGTCTGCCTGGAAATTGAAACAGCTCGATAATGTTGGCCAAATTTTCTGTTTACCAGTCAGAATTCTATTAGTTGCCAGGCAACGTTAGATTATCGTACATTGTGTCATTTATTTGTAATGCCTCCAGTGATATCACTGATGCAACTCAACAGTATTGCCATATGCAGTTAAGTGTTTTTTAGACTGCTGATTAGGTTTTCTTCATGTCCTGCTCAACTGAGAGGCAATTTAGAGCGGTTTGAGACTTCACTGGAAATTGGACAATTTATTTCTATTGCCTCTCCAAAGGTCTGGGTGCTTTCAACATTGTAAAGAGCCTATTAATGTTTTAGGTCATTGCTTTGACTCAACCCTCTGCAACCTTTTTGTTTGTGTAAAACAAACCATTTAGTTAATTAGATTTGGTTGAAATGTGCTCTGTGTGTGTTTTCAGGAGAAGTATCCCTAATCAAGCCAAAGCTATTTTAGATCTGTCATTGCCACTGCTTTGTAAAAAAAAAAAAAAAAACCTTTTGTTACCATGACTCACAAGAGTTGTTGTCTTTCACTCCCCAGCTTGTGGTTAACGCCGCTCTAGGCTTTGACACATTTGTTGTGATGCGCCACGGCCTGAAGAAACCGCCTGTCAGTCAGAGTGTTTCTGCAGGGGCAGACTCCTCCACGTCCTGTTCTTCTGCTTCCTCTTCATCCTCCACGCCAGCCAGCTCTGCGCCCACCGTCCCAGGATCCTCTCTGTTCTCCAACATCCCAGGACACAAGCTGGGCTGCTACTTCTGCAACGATGTTGTGGCACCGGGAGATGTGAGGAAAACGCACAAATACAGTAACAAGCATGCACTCATCTCATTAACTCATGTAATGCACTTAGAACTAAAAGGGCACTCGGAGAGAACAGACCTCTGCCATATCCAAATGTTCTATCTCGCAGTGTTAATGAAAGTGAAAAATGATTTTACACGCCACATGGTTAAATCTGCTCCAAGGTTGAATGGGTTCGTCCTTCCATGCGCCCTTCCATCAAGTTTCATGAAAATGGGGTCAGTAGTTCTTTTCATAATTCTGCTGACAGTCAGAAAACAAAATGAACTGAAAAACAAAACCTTGGCAGAGGTAATAAACAAACAGATTGCATAAGTGCCTAGAGTTGGTTCATGTTCTCACGGCAGCATTTACAAGCGGACCAGATAAAATGCCTTCAGCGAGAAACCTGCTCTTGATTGGTCAGAATTTCCATGTGTGAAAAATCCAGGAAGTTAACCAAACGTTGAAGAAGAGTACGCTTGCAAGATAAATGTGACACTTTCTAATGTCACAATGGAGGGACAACTACGCAGGTTGATTTTAGCGCTGGTCATCGTGGACTATATTGCTGTCATTGTTCATTTTAGTCAAACCATACAGTTTGAAAACGAGGCGCGGCTCCAACTAGAAAACAATGTTTTGATGCATTGGATGTGCTGAATGTGCATATTAAGACAGTACAGGAGGAGGTGCACATTAATAATCTTCCAGGACTGTAACATGCTCATGTTTAACCCAAACAATGAGTAATGCGACGGATCGAGGTCGGAACACGTTCTCACCACAAACAAACCGCACCAGAGTTTGTTTGTAACCGGACCGAGACCACCTCTTCAAGAAGGTCTCGGTCCGGTTGTTTTGGTGCGCAGCCAAGTGCGATTGCTGTGTTCACACCTGCCCAAACGAACCGCATTTAGGGTCAAACAAGCTTGAGTTCGATTGAACCAAACAGGGCAGGTGTGAAAGCACCCTTAACGACCCTACGGACAATTAAAACTCAACTCTGCAGCTCCCTCAGCTCTGTGGAGATTTTTTTGTCTGTGTTCGATTGTTTTGGATTTTCAGCTAAACAACCTTGTCTGCAGTCACAGCAGGCAGCTGTTTTCATCAAAAAAGCCTATATAAACTAACTGAACATTACCTGAGCAGCGCCAAATGGTTTGCAGATGAAGTTAGCTACTAGCAGGTGAAAACAGTGGAGCGTTCAGCAGCTAAAGAGTCACATATGTTTCTCAGCAGTTGGTGGAGACCAAAACAGTCAGTCTGCTATAAAGAGAGAGAGTATTAAACTTTCATTTGTCAGTTTTTCCAGAAACACGACTCCAAATAAATGTGGCATTGGAACAAAGTAATCAATGTTATTCACTCCACCTGGCAGTGGTTTTAATGTTTTGGCTGATCAGTGTATGTCAGTGTCATATTTAAAGCTAGTTCTTCTGCCCCCAAATCATCGAAAAATTCATCAAAATATTGTTGGTTTAAATTGCACAATTTAAGTGATTATTTTCAAATTTCCTTGGAATAAAGTTTTTATTTTTCTTATGATTAGATGCAAAAAGGGTGGTTTTTTAAAACTCTGTTATCCATGATGTAAACAAGAACTGGGTGACATGCCTTACACGACAGTTCCTTTTTTCATTCTTCCTGTGTTCATTTTTTGTACCCTTGACACTCTTTGTTTCTGTCTTTGGTCTTTTTCTCTGTGGTGACCTTTTGATATGAGAATTTCATGAAATCAAGTCATCAGCTATTGAAGGCCACAGCCAGTTGTTGGAAACTGTGCTATTCAGCTCTGACTTCTCCTGTAAATGCCAAACTGCTTCAGCCCGCTGTTACAGGTTAAAGTAGTGTTAACAGTTGAATCAGAGGCACAGCCGGCTATCTTTTATGTTGAGTTTGCTGAGTGAATAAATGAATGAATAGAAAGTTTTAGATCATGTTATGAGGAAGTGTCTTTTGTGTTGTTTTGTCTTTGGACCGAAGCAAAATGGTACAACATATTGTCAAACCCACATCATCTGTCACCACAGTGCTTTTGATCAGCTGTCATAACAAAGCAAAACATGCTGAGAAAGAAATTAATCTATAATGTTCTTTTTTTACGCCTCTGCACTGGCAACAGCTGTGTCTGAGGCATTATGTTTTCGGGTTGTCCGTCCGTCCGTCCTGTCTGTCTATTCTTGTGAATGCATTTTCTCAGCAACACTGTGATTGAATATCCTCAAATTTGTCACAAACATTTGCGTGGACTTAATAATGAAGTGATTCAATTTTGGTGTTCAAAGGTCACTGTGACCTCACAAAACATGTTTTTGGCCATAACTCAAGAATTCATACACTTATTATGAGAGAATTTCAAATAAATGTCTAATAAGATAAAATAATAAGTGCCTTTACATGGACAGTTTAATTCCCTTTTCATTCGGAATGGAAGTTCATTCCTATTAAAAGTGATCCTGTAAACACCTAATTTGGAGTGAAAATGGCCAATGCGATTGAAAATTCATTTCGATGTAAGGTGCTGGAGTATTCCGTTTCTAATTCTGAATGAAAGAATTTCTCGCACTTGTATACACTCATTCCTCTTTAAGTTCATTCTGGTCTTTCTGCGCATGCTTGTTTCCTTGCCACTAACCGGTTTCCATTCGCCAAAGCATGGTCTTCTATCTCCCTTCTTCGCTCTTCTACCTCCCTTCTCCTCCTCAACAGATGAAGCATTAGCAGAACAAAGTTGTTGTCGTACTGCTGCTTCAAGAATTTAAGCAAAACAAGCCAGAAAAAGGCACTAAGAACGGTGGCGTCGAACAGCTTGTTATCCGGAGCGAGGACTACAGTGTTTTCTTTTTTTTTTTTTTTTTTTTTTTTGTTTGTTAAAGATTATTTTTGTGGGCTTTTTGCCTTTAATGACAGGACAGAGTGAAATGGGGAGACAAAGAGAGAGTGGGGACTGACATGCAGCAAAGGGCCGCGAGTCGGATTCGAACACGCGGCCGCTGCGGACCACAGTGTTTTCTTCCGGTAAACGTACATGTAACATCCGCCCCGCCCCCTATCCAATCAGAAACCTTCTCTGCCCCAAACCTTGCGCGGACCCAAATAAAGATGATTAAAAGGCAATTAAACTGATCTCCCATGTAAACCCTCATTCAGAATGAATATTTCCCATGTAAACTACCTGGAAAAACTTTAATTTCGAATGATTTCATTCAGATTTATTTCATTCTGGTATGAGAAGCCATCATGTAATCGTACCCATTGTACACCCAAAAGATTAAAGGTCAATGTCACTGTGACATCGTAATGTTTTCTGGTCATTACTCAGTGCCATAACCTCAGAAGGGTAGACATTTGGTCAGATACTGAATCTGTGACAATAATTTTGGGTGTCTCAGCTTGATAATATGCTCATGGCATAGATCTTCTGTGCTGCCATGTTGAAGATGTGTGTGAAGCATCCATGTTTTTTAGAACATGTAGTTTCTTTGCAGCAACATCCATATTCGAAGCATCGTCAACTGTCATGACTACAACTGTTCTGTCATGCTTAGGGATGGGTACCGAACTCCGGTATTGAACGAGCCCCGGGGCTACATTCTTCAAGACCACGGTATTGATAAGCTCTGACCTTAACGGTTCTGCTATCAGTACTGGAGTTGTGTTTTTTTTTTTTTTTTTTTTTTTTTTACAAGATAAACGTTATCTTGCACATTTATCTCACCAACTCCGTCAATTATCCGTCATTGTATCATAATTTTTGCTATTCTCCCTGAAGACGAGAGATCTGTCTAGCTCACCCTGGCTGCCTGCTGTGTGTGAGTGGAGAGCAGGGGGCGGGGCTGTTGTTCCAGTGACACACACACACACACACACACACACAGCGCATACACTAACTCAAGCTCGTAGCTTACCTTTTGATAGATAACGATGGCGGAGAGAGCCAAATGGTCAAAAGTGTGGCTTTACATTACAAGAGTTTATGCAGACACAGCGCATTGTCACAAGTGTGACAAATGTTTTGCATGTAAGGGCGGCAGCACTAGTAATTTGTCAAAACACCTTGCGAAAGTGCATCATATTCAGACAGAAAGATGTACAAGGTTTGACTGCCCTAGCACAGCTAGTTCATCTACGTCCAGTCCAGATTTGTAACATTATGCTAGCAGCCAACACGTGGAGTTAATAACCATTAGCTATTTTGCGACCCTATTTACTAAATAGGGTTTCCGGCACAAGATAACGGCTTACCGACGACGGAGAAGCCTGGCTCCAAGTCCAATATTTTCCTCTTTGTTGGTGTCATGACTGTCCAGAAGTACGTGAACAGCCGAGCTGTGGCGGCACACAGGTATGTGACGTGTCAGTGGCGAAACGAGCTGTTCACATTACTCTTTGTGGCAGGTAACGGTCCACAAACCTCAGCACACTTAAGGGACTGTTCTTTACTTGTCAGGGGAGGAGGGTGGCTGGTTGATTTTTATTTTGTTTATTTATTTTATTTCGATCCCCCCCCTATGTTAATCACTCATTGATGCTGTTTTTGAAGTATGAATAAGTCAATAAGTAATTTATTCCACTGAAATATCATTGATGTATTATAGAAAAGTTATTTATCTTTTTATAAATGACAAAAGGCACATCTGCCTCATTTTTGCTGTGGTATTATGATACTACTCAGAACCGTGATACTTTCACTGGTATCGTACCGTGGGTCCCAGTTTTGGTACCGTGACAACACACTTATTTTATGTATTTTACATTTCAAGTTGTAAAAAGTAAAATGTTTTGTTAAAAAACTATTTTGTTGCATAATGAGAATCGAGAAAATAAAGCAATTTATGTTCTTAATTTGTTTTTTTCTTCCTCAAAAAGTATCGATAAGAGTACCGTTAAAATACCGGATCGATAAGCAGTATCGATAAGAGTAGTAGTACCGTTAAAATCTTAACGATACCCATCCCTAGTCATGCTCCTCTGGTAGTCCACCACCAGCTCACTGGTTGTGCTGATGTTGAGATTTAAGTGATTGCTGTTGCACCATGTGACAAAGCTCTCTGTCACTCCTCTGTACTCTTGTAAAAGTAGTCTCTCAGTGAGGACGACATGTTTCTCGCTGGAAATTATATCGTGATAACTTCCATTTCACCAAAAACTACACTTTATACCTTACATTAAATTTGTTTAAAGTCTTTACTGCAGACTGTACATTATATGAGACCAGACAGACATGGATGTGAACTGCACCTTGACTGATTGCTGCAGCCGTACAGCAGTTACGTGGTCTAATTTATTTAACTGTTATGCTCACACTTAAGTGGTGTAGCTCTGTGACCCTTGGTTTGTTGATCCATCTATCCATTTGTCACTTGGTTGATTCATCCGTTGGTCCAGACCACTATTAGATGAATTGCCACGCACTTCAGTACATACCCTGATGGCTCCATTTACGTAAACGCATGGCATTATAAAAAGGCTACTTAACTGAAAGGACTCCCACACAAGCCATTGGCTCACAGACGGTCTGCGATCGAGACATTTAGCCGATAATTGCTCTCTCAGCCGAAGTCACTTTGCAGGTTTGGTGGTTACTGTTAGTAAACACAGTCGTCGGCAAAAGTGAAAGTAAAAGCCAACCACAGACTCACCCTTATTTGGTGTTTCGCCTCGCTGTTTTTCCTTTTTTTTGAGCTGTGTCTCCTTGATGCCTGCTGCTTACTGGCACCTGGTCGCTATCTTTTTATAAAGCTCCAATCTCAGTTGAGTGCTGCGGGGGTACACACCTATAAATGTCCTGAACACAGAAAATAATAGAAAGTAAGAAATTACAGGCAGAGGGCAGAGTTTCTGCTGATAAATACACTGCCACACACTTCTAGTCGGTCGCAAGGGATGATTGAGAGGAATTACTCCTGTATGAGTCTGTACATTGTTTTTTAGGAAAATCCTGCGGAGTATATCTTACAGAAAGATTTTAGCCTTCCAAAACACATTTGATTGGTTTTGTCTTGGTGTTCATCTTCTGTTCTTTCCTTCTTTCAGAAGAAACTCTTTCAGGATTATGGGAATGAACCTGATGTCAGTGCTCTCCACACTGTGTATCGCCAGTTGTTCACTGTATGTTGTTGCTGTTGTTTTGTCATGAACAGTCAACCCGGGATCGGACTCTGGATCAGCAGTGCACAGTCAGCAGGCCCGGCCTGGCCATGATTGCTGGAGCCCTGGCTGTGGAGATGATGGTGTCCATTCTGCAACACAGTGAAGGGCAAGTACAGCAGACTTTTTCATTATTATCACTCTAGCATTTACAGTGGTAGTTATAATAGTATAATTGATCTGGCCATATATTCATAATGTGGAGTCTTGAGTTGTTGTAAGTACTGTACATTGCCTCAATTCAGCGACTAATACAGAAGGAAAGGTAAGAGAGGGTAATTACAGACTGTATAAAACAAATAAAATAATTGCTTTTTTATTAGGCCTGTCATGATAATGACGTTATCAACTTATCAGTGTCAGCAAAACTGATTGAGGTCATGTCCATGTGTCATACAGTATTGCCCTTGGGTTTACATGTGTGTTTATTTACATAGAAATGTCGCCAACATTGTAGCCAACATGATGTCAGAATACAGCAGGTTTTTCCCAAACATTATAAGGCTTGTGCAATGCCTAAGTGTGTTTTCACAGCAACTCAACTGAATAATCAGTGAAAAAAATATGCCAACGCAAGCTTTTCAGGGCTGTGCCCAACTCAGAAATTTGTCAGCGGAACTGGATTTGTCAGTTCAATACGAATATTCAACTCTATGTACCATTATTTTAATTAGACTTTGAGAGTTTGAGCGGGGTTCTGCAGGATGTTCAAGATGACAGTGACTTTCACGTAATATAGTAAACAAGCCAACCAAGTCCTCTGAGCTTATGTGTGCTAACTGCGCTAACATGGATTTTTTTTTGAAATAAAAGCCAGAGACGGTTTCCTATTAAGCTGCTGTGAGCTGTAAATTCACCACTTCTAAACAAAAGGCGCAGGATAATGTTACCTCCTCTGTCTCATTCTGTCTCATTGTCTCATTCAGACTCACACTGGGTCAGTGTCCACAGCTGCCTGTAATGTAGAGCTGCGTGACAGAGGAGTGTTCACAGTGCACACTGACTGACAAAAAATAAAACAACTGCTCAACTTGAGGAATCTCAGTCGACTGAGTCTCCACATCTGACTCAAATCATCATTAACTGTCACGGAGCAGCCCTACTGTTTTGCCGTCATTTGTGGTTGAATTCAAAGTTAATTGCTCTCTGAAAGGGTACTTCAATATTATGCTATTATCATTATATCAGTGGCATAAAATGGTATTAAAATGACAATGATATTGTTAATTGCACTCAACAAAAGCATTTATTGTGACAGGCCTAAGTCTTATGTCTAAACGCTCAAATGCTTTACAGAGATCTAAAGTAAAGGTCTGAGGATGCACAGAAACATACCGTAAAACTTGAATTAATAGCCGGTGCTATTATTTGCTTAAATCAATTAAATCATCAGGCCTGTATTTGGGACAGGACTTTAATTCCTTTCACACAAAACTGTTTCTCATCAAAGACAGGAAATACAATCAAATTGTTGATTTAAACCAGTATGAATATTACTTGTTTGAAATTAGGTGTTAGATAATATGTCAATTATGAATCATTCCTTTGATCTAGCTCCGAAAGACAGCACATCAGAGAGAGAGAGGGAGTTGTGTCACTCTATGATTTTGGCAACCGGCACACCGACACACCACTCTATCCTGTTCAAACAATACTCACAACTTGGATATATTTTTATGAAAAAACCTTTTGATTCCTTTGATCTGAGGACCCTTAAGGACTTAAGGATAATGAATCACTGACAGGGTAATCAAGGAATGGACACATAATTTGAGGTAGCCAACAATCCAATTTTATACATCCAAAAAACTTCTACAAAAAACATGAAATGCTTGGCAACCAGACCAGGCATCTAATTGAGACAGGCCTTTATTTGTAAAAATGTGTAGCCACACCAGGCTAGTGAAAGGGACTGGGCATTTAACTGGGACTAGAAGTTTAATTGAAGTTTCATGACCTTGTGATTTTTTTGAAAATGTAAATGATGCCGTTTTAATCCAATAAAAGATCCTTGCTAACACGTGGAGTTCTGCAAGGTCAGACACTGAACTACCTCACTGAACCGCCCTGATCACCAGTACTGTAGGTGGTTGACCTTCTCTTGTCAGAGCTTTATGCTGGTACCTCGCTCCAGGCATGAAACTGAAGGAGACTGTGTCTTTGAGCTTGTGGCTCCTAAACTTTCAGTAAGCTTAACTTGCTTACTTTTGCTTTTTGATGGAGCAGCACTGCAGCTGAGGTCTTACTGCACCGCAGGTAGTATCTGTAATTTGCTTGTAGCACAGCTCCCTGAGTTTACTTGAGCCCAAAAACTTCTGTTCACTTTAGAAGCTTTGTGGCATTTCATAATCCACCTCTCACTTTTATGCTTCAAAAGCTTTAACACTGTAATTCAGTCAGCTCTCAAGTTCACTTGGCAATCTGTACTGGTTCCATATTTTCAGTGTTTTTTTTTCCCCTAACACTGATGGGGATGTTTTCATGCCTATTAAGTGTGCACAGATGTGTCTTTGTGGCAGTGTAATTGTGTGTGCCTGATTCGGTGAAAGTCAGACTAAAGTGGCCGCTTGCTGGGCCTGATAAGACAGCCATTTTCTCTCAGAGTGTTTTGAGATGTTATAAGCTGTTACAGAGCTGCTCTGCCTATCTTGGATAAAAAGCTTAGAAAGCAAAGAGAGAAGGAGACTTTTGTGAACACGCCGTACCTCGTCGGTTGTGTAACTACCTCCTCTACAACAAGATCTCGCTCTTTTGCATCTGCCCTTTCTGTGTCCTTGTTTTCTTCTTCATATCTGTGCTTGTTCCTTTCTTTTTTAACCCCATTTCCTCCATCTCTTTATGCCCTTTAAGGTCGTCTCTGCAGCATTCACACGAACAGCTATGGGCTTTAGAAAACTGTCACATAAGGATTATTGTTGCAGCAGTTTGACAGACATGTCTTACTTCGCAAAACCACTCTGAGCTCAGTGTGAGACCTACACTGATATTTTCGTTATTGTTATCCATGGAGAGTCAAATCTTTTAGACGTGGCTAGATTTACTGACTAGTAGATCCAATGGAAAATGTAATACTTCACAGTTTTCTGACATTAAATATAGGTTTGCTGGAGCCATATATAATAAAATAAATCAGCATGCATTAGGTCACATGTTAGGCTCATACATGATTTATAATGTGTCATATTTTGGGATGTTTATGGAGATTTACTGCCTTTTCTCTATCTTTCAGTCCAATGTAAATGAAATTTTTGAAGGCATGGCAGAAAAGTTGTTACACAAGTTTTACACGTATATAAAAAGGAAATCGGAAAAAGAAGGTGTCAAAGATATAATTTTCTCCCTCTCTGTCTCCATCCTCAGAGGCTATGCGGTGGCCAGCAGCAGTGACGACAGGATGAATGAACCTCCCACCTCTCTGGGTCTAGTGCCGCATCAGGTCAGACACAATGCTCACATCCATTAAAACTCACTCACATGCATCCATGTGTGCGCGCACCCGTTCACCTCCACCTGTCAGTGTTCTCCAGTGTATGCCTATGTTAGCATATCTATGCATAATTATAAGCCTGAAATTCTGTAATGACCTCTTTCTTTCTGTTCTTGTATACTTGACTGAAGGGGTTTCTATAGAAACAAACGCAGCTTTGTCATGGCAGAACACTGCTCTGTAATGCGTGTGTGTGTGTGTGTGTGTGTGTGTGTGTGTGTGTGTGAGTTCAGACTTAAGGGTACATTATTGAGGACACACCAACTAACTGTGGTTGCATGACAAGGAGTGAGGCTTAGGTTTATGAACTTACTGATAAGGTAAAAGCTCACAGGCAGCGAGTGTAATTTAGTACAGAATCTTCCCTGGTCACTTTATTAGGTACACCCATGCAAGTGAATGCAATCCAAAACAACAGATCTGCTACAAATTCCACGTTTATAAACATACTGCTCTGATGGTGTTTCACAACATTATTATCTTTGTAAAAGTACATTTATTGGCCGGGCTGTCGTATTGGATTACATAAGGTTTTACTGGTATACCTATTTAAGTGGTCACTAAGTGTATATGTGCATTTGATTTACTCAGGCTACATTTGTACTAGTATTTTTTTTCGCATTACAGTGCATTACTATTGTTCTGTTTACGCCTAGCTTCATCATTTTTTCAGCATTTTGAAACCCCTAAAACAGTGACCTTTGAAAATGCTGCTGATCCCGTTTTAGTTTGAAAGCTCCGGGGTCGCGTTTTAGTCTGGACCAGCAAAATCATAGACTTTTGATAACGGTGATGTGGACACCCGTGTTCACTTCCTGATTGGTGTTATCAGTCACAACATGTCAGGTCAAAACTTTAAAGCTATATCTACATATTTTTGTCATTTTATCCTTCTTGTGTGGGTACTTTTTTCCCATTGCCATGTCTTCCTCCAGCAATGGGTGATGCTCACAGTACCTCTCTGATATGTTGCCATATTTGCTTTGCAGCAACTCCCAATCTGTTTTCTGCCACTTTCGACTGCCTTACTCTCAAAATACTTTATGTCAGTGGTTCCCAACTGGTCCAGCCACAGGGTCCAGATTTCTCCTTAGTCATTAGGTCAAGGTCCTCATAGTGTACTATATTTAGCGTAGTACTTTCGTTAGGCCATGTCGTCAAACTCATTAGCTGTCTCTGTAAAGTGGCTATCTATTACTCACTGAACAACAGGAAACAGCACTTCAAAATAAAAGCTTGTGCTGGAAATTTACTGTACTTCAAAAATACAGTGTGTGTGTTTTTTTTTTTTACAAACTTGACACGTTTGTAAGTCACTTGCAGTCCCTTCAGCCAGATGGGAACCACTGCTTTCAGTAATAGTCCAGCTTCGATGTTGGTCAAAGCAAAGAAATCTCTGGTCTTACTTTTCACCATCTCTGTGGCATTCTAAGCAACCAAGTAGACAATCATGTGAGATGTGTCTTCAAGTGTGATAGTATGGACAGAGATTATTTCTAAAAGGGTGCTAAAATGCTTGTGTGTAGGCAGATTGTTTTGAGTTTAAAACATTGTTTTAAAATGAAACGTGTTAATGTGGATAGCCTCATTTTGTAAAACAGTTGTCAGAGGCCTTAACAAACAAAAAGATGAAAACAGTGGCCTTATAGACCAGTGGCTACAATCCAATGCACTTAAGTAATAACAGCAAACTAAAGTAATTTCAAACAATTAATCCCGTTCCCACATAGATAAATGACCACATAAAGCAATAGCATTATTTTACTGCATGCATCTCATCCTTCTCTAGTGGACACTGAAAGTTCCAGAGTGATGCTGAGTAGGTCTGCAAGATTATGGCCAAAATGATAATCAGGATTATTTTGATCAGTATTGAAATCACAATAATTTCTCACCATTATGCATTATTTTTGGGAAAAAAATATTTTATTGCACTTTTAAAGAAACAGGGCACTGCTCTCACTTTGATGTTGTGCTGCATTTCTGCTAATATTTATTAAAATAAAACTTAAAATGAGGTTCTTCACCCGTCATGTAGCTGCCACTATTTATTTTTCTATTTTTTTTTTTTTACTTTGGCCACAATACTGTGATGCGCACCAGTGTCACTGTCATGGATGTCTCAGTTGACGCTGGAGAAGGATGGGGATTAACGGTAACAGTACAGTAACGTTAGCAACATTATTCTTCTCTGCCTTCATGCATTCATTACACTGCAACGTTTTTCCAAGTGGTTTAACAAGTTAGTTATGTTGCTACACATCGCAGACACAAGTCTCATGCAGTCTTTGCATTTGATTTGTTCTCTCCTAAATTCGGAATACTTCTAAACAATGCATGAAGACGGTTGATTGTCGCTTTGCCCATCTGCAATCATGACATTTAGGAAAATTTTTCACAGGCTGCTGCAGGGTGCACGTGTAGTGGCATGACAGCTCTTCAGAAGTGGAGTGCTTGATTTTAATATTCAGCAGAGTTTTTTATGAGCGGAGCACACATTTTAAACATCTACATTACAGTCAATCATGTTAATTTAGAGGTGCCATATTGTGAAAAGTCAGATTGCTGTGTCTTTTAAAAAAATAAAGTAGGTATAGGTGCTATATGGATAACTGTGAAAGTATCAAAACACTCAGCCCACAGAGAAATGCACACAGTTCGTATTCAGAAAATGTGGTGTTAGAGCCGTCAGGATTTCTGTGAATTTGTGATGTCATAACTACAACTGAAACTTTTATAAAGGTAGAAAAAAACGGAGCATTTCAGACAGAGGGTGATTACAGGTACATTCAGACAGACATGAGAAAAATAAAGTGGTTTTTGGAAATTAAAGCTTGTAAACTTGTTCTAGTAAAAACCCAAACACAAGTATGAACCTGAATATGAGCATTATATGGAACCAAAACTGTAGGAGCCAAAATCATGATTAATATTTGATTAACTGCGCAGCCCTAAGGCTGTATTGCCGCTGCTTTTTTTTTTTTTTTATCAATAACTGGAACAGACAAGAGTGTACATCCTGAGGTTGCACAACCACAATGACATATATAAGGTAACAAGTGGTTAAAAGGTTCATATTACAAAACCATGAAGTATTCATCTTGATGTTACTGGAGGATAATAAGATGTTCTGGCCTTGATTACATGTTGAGCTTTCAGCATCGGGATGGTATGTATGTATGCTGTATATTGTTTTACTTATGCTGTGCAAAAATATAGAGGTCAGCTTTTGTTACTTTGGTGTTATGTACGCTGAATAAACAGAACAAAACTTGCAAGACCTCAGTTGTTTGTGTGGCAACTTCTGTGGTGCATTTGAAGCTGCACTCAGCAGTGATGCTTTCTTAGACTGCGTTGTGTTTGAATTTATTGCCGATATTTTGTCTGCCTCATGTGAACAGAATATTACCTCAGCATCAAATGTGCTCAATAAAACACCACTGAAAATGTAATTGAAGTACAATGAGTACATTCACTCAAACACGGTACTTATAAAAGTACTTGTGAACAAAGTGTATGACTTTACACATCTACTCCATGACTCCATTATTTTACTTGAAACAAAGGGTTTTTTTACAGTGTGGTATTGCTGCATATACATAAAAAAGGCTTTGAATACTTGCTCCAGGGCCAAGACAGACTTTTCAGTGAGAGGCCATCAGCTTAAAGGGGACCTTTTATCCTCTTTTCTGATTTCATACTTGTATTTTAGGTTTACATGCTCTAATGTTCCAAAAACTGAAACACCTGTATTCACCGTGTCCGATGCAACCGAGGCTGAAACACCAAAAAAAATCTCTGTAACTAGCAGGGCGTCTGCAGGTCCTTCAAAAAAACCTTAAAATGTCTGATACTCAACTTTTTTTTAGGCCTTAAAGGTCATTAAACAGGCTTAAATTTGAATTTGTGAAGTCTTAATTGCCACAAACATTTGATCTAATTTTATTTATCAGTCTTTTTATTGCTTTTTGTCAACATGAGTCAAGCTCTTGAGCATAAACATCATTTCTGATGTTACAAACCTTTAAATACTATAAATTGTCCTAAATTTGGTTGTTTTGAACAACCAACATTTGAACTGTTTTCCCCTCTGTTGAGGTGGGTTGTAAATGTGCTCTGTCCTGTCTTGGGGCCCACTTCATCTATAGCATTAACATCCTTCAGCTACAGTTTATAGGCAGCTTAGACCTTCATTTTCCACAGTCACAGCATGTCTTGTTGTTTTCTCCACTGCTTTGTTCGTTGTCTGAAGTTCCATCTGTGGTTATTTTTACACAGTCAAAGTTACAGATTTTCCTGAATCCATCCATCGTTAACACTTCAGACTCATTATTATTAGCAAAATTAAAACAAGCCTAAGTGAACCCCAGTAATGCCACCCAGTGCCACATTCTGATTGTCTGTTGTACTCACCAGTTGAAAGGGCAAATTAAAGCATATTAACACAAAGTTAGTGATGTGATATGTAAAAAAAAGTGGCTCTGAAAATAGAGCTTTTCACATTGTCTGACCAAAAACATGAATCTCGTTAACTGTAAGAGGAAGACATTTTATGATTTGAACCGTAGCTATGCATGTTTCTGTGTATTATCTGTTATAATGAATCTTATTCTGTCTTTTATGATTGAGCAACAACAGTAGAAACGGGCCAAGGATAAAGCCCTGTGGCTCACCATGACAGCCCATAACTAGATATGAAGTGCTGCTGTTGTGGGTGAACAAAGTAAATTCAATTTCATAGGTCAAGGAGCGCTGAAGTTGAGGTCAGACCACATAAAGCTGGAAGCAGTGGTTATTCAGATTTTTACTGTGAGAAGTCTCAGATCTCAATAAACATGATATGTAGTGATAGTCAGTGAGTTGGCTCGTTAATACTTCCTGAGGGACTGTGGAGAAGAAAGGGGAGTTCATTCCTGTGTGTGCCCTTTGTTAGCCATTTTTCGTGGACTGACCTTTGGCTGAGGTTTTTGCGTGTAACTCTATTTATTTTTGTAGAGAGATAAAGGCTATAGACAGTATTGTGAATGGCTGCTGTGTGCGTCTATTTTTATAAATCCTTTCTGCAAAACTCTGGATGGAGATGAGATTGGATTTATAAATTAAGTGACTCATTTAAAGGTTAATTGGCCTGCACGTTTCTTTCACTAATCTTAGTTTGGTTTGACTAAAGAAAAAAATCAATCCAAACATTAGTGTGAATAGCAGTGTGACGTCAGAGGCGTGACACTCATTTTCCAGTGTTTACCAAGGACCACAAACACACACAAAAAATCATAATATTTAAGCCCTATCAAAAGCATTGATAAATGGTACAACATCAGTTTGAAAAAGTCTGTATTTAGATTAATATATTTACAGGAATGCTGCTTTGTTCACAAAACCTTTTCAAAGCATTATAATTCAAATAATGATTATACATTCTGGACCGAGGGCTCAACAAACAGACGAAGAGTAGATAATCTGCAGCTCTCCAAGCTGTGCCCTTTTGCTTACTGACTCTTATCACATCCTCAAGTATCTCACCACCTCCATTTGCATCATCATCAGTATTCATCACCCTGAGAATCTGAATTTCTGCCATTTGCTCGACACCTCCGCCGCTCGTGGTATTTCAACCAAGTAATTCGGAGAAAAGTGGCATGCAAATGTGTTATTGTATGTGTGTGTGTGTGTGTTTGTGTAGGGACAGAGACAGAGAGGGGGTGAAGGCGAGAGAATATGATAATTATGACCAGAGAAATGCAGGGCAGATAATATGCAAGAGGATGTTAATGCCTGGATGTCTGTGTGCGTGTGAGTGTGTCCAGTTTTGCCTCTTCCTCCAGCTGTCTACTGCTGATACATCACATTGCAGATCAGTAGTTTGGAGCTGCAGGCGTCTTTTCTGTGGTGCCACAGTGACAACCTGTGGTGGTTTACAGAAAGTACATGAAATATGTTTTATGAACAAGTGTCTGAATAAGAGCATGCAAATACAGGATTTTTGGGGGACATTTTTGAGAGCTATCACCCTTTTTCTTTTGTAAATGTACCTTTAGATTTTGATCCTGACAACTGTTGTGTACTCCTGACACTTTTCAAGCTCCATCCCCAAAACTCACAAAGCACTGTTTTCGGTAGTGTCCGACCACTCAAAGCATTTTTACACTACATCTCAAATTTCACTTGCATCAGTTTAAATATTCATACACACTCAAAATATGGGCAGAATTTATCTTGACCGAGGATACTTAGACACGCAGAATGAAGGAGCCAGTTGATCATCTGATAAGTTGACTACCTGTCCTACCTTCTGTGCCACAGCTGCCAACATACTTGTCCCTAACTCAAGTCAAATTGAGTCATTTTTATTCATATAGCCCATATGACAAATCACATGTTCATGATAAAACAAAGTAAAAAAGTGCTTAACATGTCAATAATAAAAACAACCAAGACATGAAAACAACAACTTAGTATATGAAAACTGAGGAAATCAAAGACAAATTAAATTAACTTAAACCTCAAGTAAAATCAGGAAAGCCTCTCTGATAAAAGTTTTAAAAAGGGACTTAACCCATCAACATCACTTTTCCTGTGCTTCGTTCAAATGCCTCCACAAGTATTTAAACCTTTCAAATCTGAGCAAATTGATTTGATTTCTTTTGAAAACACAGGGGAAAAGGCAATGAGCACCTTGGCAAGAACTGTTCCACAAACTGAAAGAAATCTTTAGCTTTGGGAAAAATTTTTTTTTGACCCTTTAAAACCTGAATAAATGAGTTTATTTTTTCTTTCTTTCTTTTTGTTGTGACGAGAGTGATAACACATATAGAGGCTGTTGTGCACAGATGTAAATACAGGTGTGCCTTGAGATTTTGGCTTGCCCTTTGGTGTCCCTTGGGCACAAAAGTTTGAAAACCACTGCACTAGAGACTTTTAGTAACTAGTAGTTAGTTTGTAATTAAAACAACTACTGAAATTTGTTGCACCACGACTGCTTGGGGCATAACCTAACTAATATGTAGGACATGAAGTCATAGTGGCTTTAGAGATCCAAGGTCATGGTTACTGTGGTCGGTGAGTTTAATCCTGTGACATTTAATTATTTACACCTATTCGTGGAGAATGTGCAACTTTTCAGTTGTTACTTAGAGTAATGTTGTAACTTATCTCCATAGGACAGCTGCTTTTTATTTAATAATGCATAAATTACAACTTAGTAATAACTTGTTATAACTAGGTTGTTTGAATTTACACACAGGTGATTTTGCTTTTAAATGTCACAAGTCTGACATACAGTGCCTCAACTATCATTTTCTTCTTTATACTTAGCTGCAAAATTAAGGACAACAATGAGAAGAAGCAAGGTTACTTTGTAGTATCAAGGATAATGGGTCCTTCATGTCCATGATCATACTTTAAGATCACAAAGGTCCTTATGATCCATGACTTTGATTTCTGGAAATCCAGGGTATTTTAAGGAGGGAGAATTCCTCCACTCATTCATGAGCTATCGTCCACTCTGTATGTCTTAATACAGAGGGGGATAAAACAAAATTCAACAAACAAAATAAACATAAATAAAAGATCACTTCAAAGTCAAATAAGATTTTTCCCCAATATTTTTCACATTTTTAGTCTCAGAGAAAAAGTCAGTTTTTCCATAACATAAATTTCCTTAGCTGTTTCTATCCATTCAGAGGTTGTTGGAGACTCTTTACTCAGTCATTTCCTGGTTATTGCTTTTTTACAACCTGCTCATTGTATTTGTAATAAATATATGTCCTGCTTTATTAGCTTAGCTGGCACATTTCCCAAATACATTACACCGAAGTTAAAATCCAGCTCTGAGCTCATTATTGATGTGATCTCTATAACCACATCTACCAAGTAAGAAGAAACTTAAGGACACTCCCAAAAATATGAAAATGACCAGCAGACATGTTACCACACATTCTCCAGCACTGACCATGTTCAGGTTTGTGCTTTGTGATTTTTTTTTTATTTTGGGACTTTTGGGACTGGTTGAATAATTACAGCTGGAATCACATTTTATTTATACACACATACATACATACATACATACATACATACATACCTGGATTTCTTAACTCAGTATATACTGTCTGTAAAGGCTGTGCAGTTTTAGAGCTACTAGTCTTTTAAGTCCACCTCACTTGCCCACACTCACCCATTGGTCTGATTTACTCATCCTCTCACCCCTCCATTTGTTATATCGCCTACTGGACATGTTTGCTCTGCCAGGCGTCCTCTTACCTTTGTGATAAATAAGTACAGCCTCGACTGCCTTTAATCTTTCAGTCTTTTAAACATCCTTGAATGTGCCATTTTACTTGAAACAATCAGCACACAGATGAGAAGATATAAAGGACATGGAAAAAACTGAGACAAATAGCAAAATGAAACGAGCCTCCGGCTGAGTTGCAGAGTTAGTACACCATAACCAGATAACTGTAGGTTACCACACAGGCTGTGCTAGTGCCAACTTGGAGCCATGAAGAGTAATTAAAATAGGGGTGCATGAAGTCATCATGGAGTCAATGCACCCAAATATCTCAGCCAAGACACGAAAGCTTTTAATTTCCGCCCCTGTCCACGTGATGTGCATTATGCAGTACTTTATCCACAAGTGTTCAAAATATTTGTCAGTTTTATCATCAGATAATTACAGCCAGGAAGAAATTTCATGGTCTGGACTACGTGCGTCACCAGAAAACATAATGGGCGAAGCTTTTATCAAAAAAAAAAAACAGGATGATGTGGGTGTAAGAGAGGAGGAGGGGGAGCGATGAAAGGAATATATTGGTGACGGGTGGTGTTTCGCCAAAGAGTTGTTGGTGTGTGTGTGTACATGTGTGGAGGGTTCTCTAGACAGTAATCAAGGTAATTAGCCATAATGACTGGATCCATGAATAGGAGTGAAAGCTTTCAGCAGTGCAATGTGAAAATGTTTCACTGGAAAATACTGTAGCACATCTGACACCAGAGGGCGCTTTCTGCATGATTTTAAAATGTAGAAGACATAAAGTCAAACTGCTTCCAAATTTTCAAGCCTCACATTTAATGTTTACTACTTCACTACTTACTCATTACTTTTGCTTACAAAGAAAAAATGTTTCAAGGGTACAATCTTCTCTCAAACTGAATACTTGCTGTTCAATAGGTGCTTTTCATGAACATATACTGTGTATTTCTCTCCCTTTGATCTTTCTCTGGTCAAGGACCTTTTTTGTGTTCACATAATTTAAGTTTTTAGCATTTATGAGTGATTTGAATGTGGTTTTGAAAGGAGCGTTCCCCCTTTGAGTGCTGTTATGCAATTTTGCTCCTCAGTTTTGTGTCAGTTTTTGATGTTTTGGTCTCTCTCCCATAGATCCGAGGCTTTCTTTCGAGGTTCGACAATGTCCTGCCTGCAAGCCTGGCCTTTGACAAATGCACAGCCTGCTCACCCATCGTAAGTAGCACATATTGTAGCTAAATACTTCAAATTATATGTTTTTTGACAGTATATGAAAGACTGACACGTTGATGCAGAAAGGCAGCTTCTGATTTACTTATCAGATTAGCCTCTGTTACTATGTACCAACACTGTGTTGAAACACAAATTGCAGCCTTAGCAGAAATAAGGGGATTCCCATCTCTCCCATTCCCACATTGTTAAGTCAGTGGAGCTGTGTTGAAATGTTGCTCCTTGAGGAATACTGAAGACGCAAACACACACACACACACACACACACACACACACACAGAAAAGCTGGTAAAACCATATGGTAACAATCAGGCAGCAGTTGCTCATTGATGTCAGTGACTGTCGTATGACTGGAATTAGCTCCCACCACTGCAGTGTGGGTGTGTTTGTGCATGTAAAGATGGGCTGCTGAGGGGTCCACACATCCCAAATCAGCCAAGCTGGGTGGGAGAAATTGCCTTCGTGTCTATTTACCGCGCCACCATTAGTCTACAGCAAACTGACCAATCATTACCCCAGGTGGCCCAGTGGTTAGCAGCGTCCAGCGATGTGATTGGCTGGTGTACATTAGTGTAAAGCCAGTGAGAAAGTAAAAAAAAATGTGAAAGCAAGAGGGGTGGGGGGGATAAAGAGAGGAAGTGCAGGGCTGAAGAAAGGGTGTTGTGATGAGTGGCGGGCTGGTTCTCTCCCTCTTTCTCCCCTGATCTCAATGCAGCCTTTGTGTCTATAAAGAGGTCATAAAGCCCCAGATCTATCACTTTCATGTGAAGACAGAGTGAGAGAGAGACACACAGAAGGAGAAACCAAGAGGCAGAGAGGGGGAGGGAGCTGGCCAGCTTGTACTCTAAAAGTTTAAAGTTTTTCTCCACCTACGCTGCTCCTGGAAAAAAAAGAAAAAAGTATGAAGTTCCACCCCATCTTATGGTGTCATGTTTCTGCCTGTGTGACTGATGAGATTATTCGGTCTGAGCGGAGGGTTCATAAGGTTTGATAGGGACCGGGATAAAGCCTGTGTAGTCGGGAACAATGAACAACATGAGTTAGGAAAGACGATCCTTTGCTGAGGCAGGGATAAAGGTTATGTAGTGAAATTGGTGAATGTGTTTTGATTCAGTTAATCCCGCCCACACACATTTTCCCTCTCTATTTTGCATTTGCTGCTTATCTGCCTTTCACTCTTTTCTTTTTTTACCAGCCTCCTCCTATTTCACTTCTCCTCTTTTCCTCTCCACTGCCTTACCTTCTCTCCCTTCCTGTTCTCCCTCCCCCATATCTCTCCTCCCTTTGTGTGTCCCTCTGTCCATCCATCAGTGCGTTCACTGTAATGTGTGTGTGTCTTTGTCTTCTGTGTGTGTATGTGTGTGTGTGTGTGTGTGTGTGTGTGTGTGAGGGAGTGCACGTCTGTCTGTGTGTATTCCTGCCGCAGTCAGCTGTGTGCTGCCAGGTCACTATGGAAACAAAACAATTCAGCCCCTGTCTGGGCTGGAGCAGTTCCTGTAGAGTTGGGGCTTTTTACTCTGTATGTGTGTGTGTGTGTGTGTGTGTGTGTGTGTGTGTGTGTGTGTGTGTGTTTCCTAACTCTTTCTGGGGCTGCAAGCCAATAAAACTACACGCCAGAGAGTAAATCACAGCTGACGTGGCTTTGTCTTAGACCATGCCAGACACCTCTTACTACAACTACTTGTACTAACACCACCAAATACGCTACCACTATTAATAGCAGGAACATTTTTCACATTCGAAGTGCAAAGTGTTGAAAAGAAACTGAACTGGTCAATATCACAGCTCTGTGTTTTTCTGTTGAGGTATTTCTTCCTTCTGAACCTTTCAAAAACTAGAGCTGGTCATACTTAAAGGGACAGTTCAATGAAAAATCCATCAAACATAACAGAGCTAGATGGCACTCAGCTTGTGGTGCTCATAGCGCCAAAAAACTATATTTAAAAAACCCAACAGCTATGTCTCTTTACAGGAATCATAACCAGGATACTCAAGATATTCCACAGACCTTGTTGTGAGAGGTTTCATGTAGGAACGATTTTCTTTCTACGGAATTACAACATTAATGAATTCCTCCTCTGCTGAGATGTAATGTTAGCTAGCTCAGTGGTATTTGGTGAGCTAGCAGTAGATGCACGCTCTTCTGTGCAGTGATATGATTGGTGGGGGTAGTTCAGTAGATAGAACAGTTCCTACATGAAACTGCTCACAATAAGGTCTGTGGATTATCTTGAGTAACCAGGTCATGATTTCTGGAAAGAAACATTGCTGTTGAGTATTTCAAATGGGCTTAGAGCACCATGAGCTGAGTGCCATCTAGTTCTGAAACTCCCGGACCTCATTGTTTTCTCGATTTGTGGACATTTTCAGCTGCTGTTGTTCTTCTTTGAGTTAGCTGCTAACTGCTATCAGCTATTTTTTAAATCTCCCTTGGTGTGTCGCACACAGCTGTGCTGCCCATGATGCCATCCTACCAGCTGTCCCCTTTATGCAAACATTGTTGTGGCGCTGTTACTACCTCTGTTGCCAGTTCAGAGGCGAGACAGCAATTCCGCTTTTGTACTTTTTATACAGAATGGTGAGGTGGCATAACAGCATGAATTTCCTGCCCAAATGAGGCAGTGTTAAAGTGGCTTTTGACTTTGAGAGGTAGACATTTTATAATATCCACTGCAGCTATGCATGCTTCTGTGAATTATCTATTGGAATTAATCTTATTCTGTCTTTTATGTATGACCATATTCAACAGTTGAAACGGGCCAAGGATAAAGCCCTGTGGCTCCTCATGAAAGACCATAGCTAGATTTGAAGTACTGCTGTTGTAGAGAACAAAATTAATTCAGTTTCATAGATCGAGGAGCACCGAAGTCGAGGTCAGACCAGATAAAGCTGGAGGCAGTGGGTCATTCAGCTCTTTACTGAGAGAGGGAGTTTTTCAAATGTATTTTTATTTATTTATTTATTGGCACTCTGAGCACCACAAGCTGAGTGCTATGTTGTTCCATTATATCAGAAAGGAGGCAGACATCTCTGGCCAATATCGCCAACACGATTCACACCAAAACAATCTAGAGTGATAACTAGCACTACAGACAAGAGTAAAATTATGTATTTTTGATTATGGGGTTAACCGTACCTTCAAAATAAGTCATCCTTGTATCACAGATTGTAAAGATTAAAACCTGATTTTAGTCTGCAGATCCATATCTATTGTAATTTGGCTGAATTTCGTTTCCAGCACCTATCCCATTAAAGGTCCTACGGATGTGAAAACACTTACCAATGATTAAAACCCTTTAAATAATCTAAAATATACAGGACATGTACCACTACACTGAAACCATGACTCTACATTATGTCTGTCTTCAAGTGTGTACCAGTAAAGTGGTAAAAAAAAATGAAATACATTGCCCCTCTAATTTTGTGAAAGCCAATGATCCAGCAGAAATGCCAAACATTTTCTGGTGTAAGCTTTCCAGATGACAGGATTCGCTGCTTTTCTCTGTGTTAGGTAGTTGTCAATGAAATGTTTTTGTGTTTGACATTTTTAGGTTTAGCAATGCAATTTTGGGCGCATAATGGCTACCTTGTTTATTCTGCTTCCAACTGGAGCGTTGGTTTTGTACATCCTCAGAAATGAATGCTACATGTATGCAAAGTGCAATACAACATGGACGGTACAGGCAGTGTAACATACATACTTGATGTTGTCACCACATGTTTGATGTAGGGGCCTTTTATGTCCCATCTGCAATTGCGCCGCTGTCGCTTTTAGTGCCACCATCTAAGGATTTACATCGTAGTGACCTCTGCAACTGTCACCGTGTTTGTGGTTGACATCATGTCATGAGTTCTTAGGTAGGCCCTGAAGTGGAATCCTTCAGGAAGTATTTGGACAGTTACTTTCATGACCCAACTGTTGTCTACATTGACACATGGTTACCTCCTGCCTAAGTTGACATGACAAGCAATTCAAAGAGATCACCTTGGACTGCAGGAAATATTTAATATTTACATCTATACCAGCCATTCCTTTCATACTAGGTGCAATTTCTGCAAATTTAATCACACATATTAGATTAGATAACTCTCAATATTTTTACTTTACTATTTGCTGTTTTTACGTATAGTGTAGACATGTATGTGTTGCACAGCAACCACAGAGTGTTAAGTACACATACTTAATGAGCTTTGCTTCCTGTGAAGTGTGCTGATCCTCTGGAGTACCATAAAGTCTTAGTGGTTACTTAATGAGTCAGTTGGAGTTTGTGTCTAACCTGGCGTGTTGACCATACACGTTAACAGCGGAAGTCAAAGCCATTGAATCACCAGGAAGTGTTTACTCATAGCATACGGTAAATGTTAAATCATGGCAAAACCACAAACCAAGAACCACCAAGCATTTCATAGATCGTTATGCTTCAGTCACTGATTTGCACTTACAGTCACATAATTGTATGTGACTGCCAACTATGTTCTGTATGTTTACAACTTAAGGTAAAGCCCCTGTGAGTCACCCAATGTATGTCTGATGTGTTTAAAGATGCTACACATGCACACCCATGTGGGCACACACATACACAGCCTATAGAGTGTTTTACTTTGAGTTAATCTCCACAGTTTGGATCCACAAACAACTTGATAAAGAAGTCGTCACCACTGACACCTAAAGCCAGAATGGAGAGATTTATGTAGCTCCATAAGGAAGGAAGCTTCGGGACAAGTTCACATGTACATGCATGTGTACATATGTGTAGCACACCATGTAATCCAGATGTTGATGATTTCATGTGTTTGTAGCTTGGCGTAATTGTGGCTATCTGTCAACAGCACGCAATCACTACTGAAAACATTGGCGCCTGATTAAGACTACAAACCTTGTAAACGTTTCAAGTCTCTTCCGTTCTGTGTGTCTACATATGTTGATGTTTTTATGGCATATTTCCCACAATGCTTCTGGAACAGTACAGTTTGAATTAGTCAGA